CAGCTATGATCTAAAAATATGGATAGATATTAATTTTTGGATCAATAGATTTTACTAGAGTGATTACTTGAATGGAAGATTATTATTTTACCAGCTTGTGTATTTTCAGCAGATAACTGAAATCCTTAAGTAAGTGACGTAAATATTTCCATATATTCATGTTTGTCACATCAAACTAACTTTGAGTCGATTGAAAATTTGATATTGGACGAAATAAAATCGATCTTCCTCCCATCGAAATATTCTCGAAATTCCATTTGAACAAATAACTCTGTTCACTCTGCTGCTACGCTATTAACTCTATGCTTTAACGTGTCTTCAATGATAAAAACATAAAAGACAATTTTAAAGGATAATTTTCTTTTGTATACGAGGGAATATATTCTTGCGTTGTAAGATATAATTAAAAAAAAGAAAAAAAAAAAAAATGATCGATTTGAAAAATTTGTCGAAAGAAATGTATTATTGTTTACATACAACAATTGTAATAATACAAAAAATTAAATACTATTCTATATGCATTGTATATTGTATAAATAAAATTCATTTATCAAAATCATATAAAATTGTTTTAATAGAGAATTAAAAATTCTAAAAATATTTATTGACGTACAAGTTTTATATTTTTCTATACTAATTAAATATCAGTAGAATTCTTAATTTTCTATTAATTTTCTATTGATTTTTAATACATATATGATTAATTATCGATTTTCTGAAATATGAAATTGTTTCAATATAAATTACACATGTATATTGAATTTTTAATGAAAGGATTATTATCGATGATGATACCAATTTAAAAAAATACGTTGATTCTATACTGCTTTTTTTTTTTATATGAAATTTCTTAATTTTATTCCAATTCTAAAAATTGTCGGTATTTTTCGCAAAATGGAGAAAACTCAATATTAAGTCGACGAGATACATTGCGCCCTCGATAACGCATAACGCTCCAACAGCTAAGCCGATCTAAAAGAAAAAAAAAATGTTTTAAAAATATTTAAATATAATCATATTTTTATAATAGAATACAGTATGAGTTATATAATTTGTCCAATAATTTCTAAAACGAGATATCAAAGCGAAATTTTATTTATTTCAAAAACCTAATAGATATTTTCAAAAATGTTCACTATCGTATCGTTAATGTATCACTACAGTTACAATTATAAAAATAATAAGATAAAATGCAAAATTTTGAATTTTATTTGTGGGTGGACAAATTACGTAAATCTTATATATATAATTATCGAAAACAAAATTTTTAATAAATAAAAATTCGATTGAAAAACATAAATATTTGCATTATTGACTTACCTGTCGTTCTTGAACAATCGAATCGTATTTATTTTCCGGTTGATAACCATGCCAATAATGAAGCGCTGTACCCCCCACAGCGATGAACATGAAGGTTCCAACAAAGTTCATTATAATTTCCTTTAAAGAGATAAATATTCGAATAATTTTTTACACAGAAATTAATTTTTGCACGATAAAAATATTTATATTTACGCAAATCCGATATAACAGATTTTCGTTCTTAAAATTACTCAAAATTGATCTTACGACAAGTGTCTTCTTGTGATACATGCTCCCAAAGCAGTAAGTGATTAAAACGACGCTGGTGTATATGAAAAATCCGACCAAAACTCCGGATGCGATGATTTCTGCGTCTGGATTTTTGTCTTCGTTCAAGTTCCATGTCCCTCCGACACCCAGGAATTCTCCCTTGTATCCCGTTCGATACAGGATCAGGATTATTAGATTAATAATCTGAAAGGAAAATTGTCGATCAGTTTCAAAAATTGAATCGAAATATTCAAGAAAGAATATTGAATTCAGTTTAATCAAATAGTAATTTTTATTATTGATATTTTCAATTTAAGTGGAGATTTAAGAAGATTAAAGAAGATTGTTACTTTTTTTTAAAAATTTCATCTTTTTTCGTATAAGAATATAAGAGTGCAAAATAAACACTCGAAGATATCTTTCATTCTAAATATAATTTACACCAACAAATATATAAAATAATTCTCCAGTTTATATATTCTTAAATATCCATTTGCATTATTAATAGTGCATTGAACGATTTCACGGATCTTTTCATTTCCCAACTTTTCCCAAGAAAAATTTTTATCTATCTCTCAATCAAATTTCAGATATAATCTGTGACTCATTTATTAACTATTATTATACATCTAATTGTGATGTGTAACAAGAAATCGTGATTCGTGATGATAAAGATTTTTGTGCGCACTTGTTTCATTTCCATGCACAGATGTATTTATATAGAAAAAATCGATGAGAGAAAAATTATTTCAATTATTTTCTAAAGTTTTAATTCTCTGTTATAAAAATACTACGAGCTTAATATCGCGATATCGCGTAAATTAAAAGAAAAAAGGGCGTCGTAATGCTATTACAAACAAGACGCTTTATCGTACTACTGATAAGGACAAAAAATGAATCATGAAAGTATGTGGTAAATATTTCTTGAATGAGAAATTCGATTACGATGATTTATCAACGTAAGGGCATAAGGATAATTGGCAGAATCGGGATTATTAATCAGATTCGATCGTATTATCGATGCGTAATTAAACGTTCGTAAAATTGCCCCCATTTCTTCAATAAATAACAATCACAATTGTTGATACGAGGTCCATATAAATCATGACTTCACGATACGCCAGTGTGCATTATTACTGCGAAGTGGATTTATCTATAAGATATCGATCATCTATCAATATAAAAAAATACAATTTCTTTAAAATATACTGTTCATTCCCTTTCTCGTTATTATCGTAAATTAAAAATAACGAATCTTTTGTAGAAAAACGATGAAAAATTTTGCGTATCATTGATTCACATCCATGTTACAATGTTCGGGCAATTATTTTATTTATGTAGGATAGAATTGTTTAATTATTTGTGAACGTGTATAAAATTTTGTCGTAACAAAAGTGAGAAAAAAACAAAATATTTTAATAATTCTTTCTCGAAACTAATAAAATCCGAATATTAATATATTGTTTATTATTATTAATTCAATTTTAATATCTTCTCCATTATTCACGATTTGTTTTATTCCATTTGTTTACAATTGATCGGTTCGAATCGAAGAATTGTTTTCCTCACCAACTTGAGAACTTTTATCACTATACCCGCGACAGTTTCCAGAGACACCATGTTTAAACGTTTCGATGCTCACTCTTCACGAACAGTAACAGGTGGATCTGAAGTAAAAACGTGCTGGTTTCGAGAGTACTAAGCCCTCTCTTTATCTAATCAGATGATACAGCGTATGCGTGTATGAAAGCGGGATAAGACGCGTAAAAAAGTAACACCCGTACATTTATACCCGTATTATCTCTCTAACGATAATATACATATACATATATACATATACCTTGATGCCATCGAAACGATATTTCCAACTCTTCGTTCCCTTCGAAAAAATAACGAACGTAGAAAAATAATTAATCTCTTCACAACGCACTAAATGAAAAGAAGAAGAAGAAGAAGAAGAAGAAGAAGAAGAATATCTTCTAATTGAATTTTTCCAAAATATGTAGAAACCAGTTTTCAGATTTTTCTCTTCCTTCTACGATCCACGAATATCGTCGTATTTTATATCTATTAAATAAAAATATCTGTTATTCTTTTTTTTTTTTTAAAGACAATTTAAAACTCTTAAGCAATATTATTCGATATTACTTTACCATCGTTCAATGTTATTCCAGGAGCTGGGCCTGGCCATTGCCCCTGAACAAGTCGCGGAAATGGAGGCCCACGCGAACGACATCGACTTCGAGGCAGCGGCGAAGGAAGAAAAGGCCACCAGGCACGACGTGATGGCCCACGTCCACGTTTTCGGGAGCCAATGCCCGAAAGCGGCTCCAATAATCCATCTGGGCGCGACAAGTTGTTACGTCGGCGACAACACGGTAAAAGAAATCTTCGATTCTAGTCGAAACGATTCTAGTTGTTACGATGCATGTTACGTGGTGCTTCTTCTTTTTTTCAAGGATTTAATCGTTCTTCGCCAAGGATTCGATATTCTTCTACCGAAATTGGCTAATGTTTTGTCACGCCTCGCCAAATTTGCGATGACGTATCGCGAGTTGCCGACATTGGGATTCACTCATCTTCAACCTGCGCAACTCACAACCGTTGGAAAACGAGCAACGTTGTGGCTCCACGATCTTCTGATGGACGAGAGAGCCCTTAGACGAGCTAGGGACGATCTGAAGTTTCGAGGCGTGAAAGGGACAACCGGCACACAAGCATCGTTCCTTCAGTTGTTCAATGGTAAATTGAACAAATTTTGTCTTGAGAGGGTTCTAATGAAAAATTTTTGTTTGGTTTTCTCAACTCTGATTCTTCTTCAGGCGACGGAGAAAAGGTGAAGAAGTTGGATCGGTTGGTAACCAAGATGGCGGGATTCGAGAAGTGTTATCCTGTAACGGGACAAACTTATAGCAGAAAGGTCGACGTGGAATGCTTAAATGCTCTAAGTTCCTTGGGATCCACTGTTCACAAGGTGAAACAGTATCTTTGTTTTATTTTCAAAAAATCAAAGTTGGAAAATTTTACGTAAAACAAAATAATATTGAGTACCTGATGCAAAACGTGAAAGGTATATCATAACGATATTTTCTTTCTAAAATTGATATTGGTAATTTTTATCCTCAGATCTGCAGCGACATTCGATTGTTGGCAAGTATGAAAGAAATCGAGGAACCATTCGAAAGCACTCAAATTGGATCAAGCGCAATGCCGTACAAAAGGAACCCAATGCGATCAGAAAGATGTTGCAGCATAGCAAGGCATTTGATGACGTTGGCTAACAATGCTTTGCAAACTGCAGCTACTCAATGGATGGAAAGAACATTGGACGACTCTGCCAATAGGAGGATTACCCTGTCTGAAGCATTTTTATCCGGGGATGTGATTTTAATGACCCTTCAAAATATTACAGAGGGTATGATCGTTTATCCCAATGTCATTGCCAGGCACATCGACCAAGAATTACCTTTCATGGCCTCAGAAAATGTAATAATGGCTATGGTAAAAGCTGGGGGTGATAGACAGGTGCGATTTTTATGTTTGAATTATTATATAGTTGATCAGAGTAGGTAAATATTTAAAGATCTGTTCCTCTTATCTGAAACATTATTATTAAATATGATGTACTTGTGTCATCAGATTTTTGATCATTTGTTCAAGAATAGCAATTTAAAAATTGAAAAAGAAAATTAAAATTTATTGAAAAATCGAAATTAAATTGCATTAATTTGGAATTAACATTTTTATTAATTTCTTGAATATTTCAATGTTATTGGATTTCATAAATTTGGATTAACAACGAAATATTATTGCTATTTTGAACTATGTCGTAGAAAAATTAATATTATACATGAAATTATCAAAGAAAAATATTTTACCATTCTCTCTATCAAAGAAAATCAACGTTACTCTTCTGTAACAGGTTTGCCATGAGAAAATAAGAGTGCTGTCCCAAGAAGCAGGTGCACAGGTGAAGCAATATGGCAAGAACAATGATCTAGTCGAGAGGATTAAGAAGGATCCTTACTTCAAACCGATCCTCGACCAATTGGACAATCTTCTAGATCCACGAACTTTCGTTGGCAGAGCACCTGAACAAGTCATTGAATTTTTAGAGGAAGAAGTGCAACCAGTGCTCGAAAATTACCAAGGACTTTTAGGCGAAAGTGTGGAACTCAATATTTGATTAAATTTGAATTTTTTTATTTTTCGCAGGATTTTTCTCTCTAATCCTAATCTTTTAATTCTTCGATATAGAATTTTTTAATTCTTTTCTTCAGTTTTTAATTTCCTAAATTTTTCTAAATTTTTTCCCTGCTATTTTTACGCATTTCGAAAGCAAAACAAAGCGATGCGTTGTACAAGATATTGTTATTATTTGTAAACTTTACAAAGATCAGAACTGAATAAAAATCAGGACAATTGTAAAGCGGATTGTTTCGCAATTAGGCGCACGCTTCTTTCGTACTGAACGTTTTCTTCTTTTATTAACCCTTTCGTCATGATTTTTCGCCAATATCTTACGATACAGAAATTCAACGAAACAATTTTTCACAAAAATATATCGGTTAAGAATATTAGGCAGAATTTTTTATTAATATAAAATTTTGAGGGATGATTTTGATCTCTTTTGGAATACATCAAGGCTTTCTTGCACGATAATTAACTTACTAGTAACATTGAATTGATAAATTACAAGTTGTAAATCATATCACTTTATAATCAATTTTATCTATCACGAAATGTGATAATCAGTTAAGTTATAATTTTTAAAATTTAAGTAATAATCTCTGAAAGTTTATTTATTTTAGTAAACGATATGAAATAGAATAATAACTTGTGATTTCCAACTTGTAAAGTTTCATTAATAATAAGTAATTCAATTGTGTGCAAGAAAGCCCAGAGATGACCAGCATTGGATAATTGGGTAATCATCTTTAGTAACGAAAGGGTTAAAATTATCGATTTATATCTCTACGATTCCATTAGAAAATTGTCGAAAACGTAGCTGCTGTGATAGCAAAAGAAGAATCGAACGAGAAGTAAAGAAGAAACTTTTCAAAAGAGTTGTTTCATATTTACACTCAGAAGGGAAAAAAAGAAGAAAAGATATGGAAGAATAAGAGACAGAGAGATGAAGAAAATTATTATGACTGAGAATAGGTAGAGAAGAGTAGAGTAAAAAGAAAGACAGAGATGTAGAGATGTGATTGTTTATTATAAACAGATAGGCACAGTGGTTAACAGTTGTTCGATTTGTTTTCTTATTTTTTTCTAATTTGTAAAAAAATTAATAAACTTGTAAAGATCAAATATACGAACGTCTTTCTCTTCGAAGAAATAGCAAATAGAATGAAGAAGGAAAAAAAAAAGAAACAATCAAGCAACTGTTAACTTACAACGAGAGATTTAAAATTAACTTTGTAACTCCTGAAAAAGAAAAGAAATTTTGTATTAATTCGCAAAAATATACAGAATGGAAATATGTGATTACAGTCTCGTGTACATATTTAGATTTAAACGGCTATAGCACTTGAGAATCACAGCATGAGAAGAATTACGCATTGTTCTCGTTGTTTATAGTTTTCGTAGGATAGATCCAGGTAACGATAGGTGGGAAGACTAGACTAGAAGTGAGAGAATATATGAGGAAACGCGGTTTCCTGATCGAAAGTGACGCATCACTTCCGGTTTTTTAATGGCGTGTTTTTCCTTGAATATTTAGATTGTTCAATACATGGAAGAGTATTGAGTGTTGAATACAAGATGGTTTTATCGACAAGTAAAACAGAAATGTAGACAGAAGTAGATAGAAGAAGAGAGAATGAAGAGACAAGGAAGAAAAAGTAGAAATTGAAGTAGAAATTTGGAAAAGAATTTCACTGAAATATGAAATAGAAAGAAGAAAAGAATAAAGAAAAGAATAAATAGTTTGCAAATAATGGATGTAGAATAGATATAGAAATAGAAAATATAAGAAGAAGAAGAAGAAGAAGAAAAAAGAAAAAGAAAAAGATGAAATATATAACATTTGCAAAATAGAAAAGATGAAACAAAGATTTAGAATAGAATGGAGATATAGAATAATTGTAGCAAATAAAAAAGAAAATTTAGATAAGTATCTACAAAATTGGAAAGATGAAAAAGAAGTAAGAATGAAAAAGAAATAAATATAGATCAAATTTATAATGGAGAACAAAGTATATTGAAAAGAAGGAATAAAGTCAAAGAAAAGTTTCAAATGGTAGATATAGATGAAGAAAAAGAAAAGTTCAATGAGAAAAACTAAAGTAATAAAAAAAGAATAGAACTAATATTTACATAAAATAGTGAAAAGAATTTTTAAATACTTAGAGAAGAGAAAGTATGATAAAATGATAGTGATAACAAATAGAATCAAGTTCTGAAAAAGAAAAAAAAACACACACACATAAGAAATAGAATAATACACAGAGGTAGAAAGTATTTAAATTCGATAGAAGAAATATAGAACTTATAAAAGAAAAAATAGAATTCAAAAATTAAATAACAGATATAGAATAACAATAAAATAAATCACAAACATAATAGATCATAATAGAAGATAAAAGAACATGAACAGAAAATGAGATTGAGAAAATGAAAATAAAGTAACAGAAAGAACAGATTAGAAGAGAAGAAGAAATAGAGATCATAAAGGAACATAAAACAAATAAAAATAGCAATAGTATAGAAATTATAAAATAAATCATTAAAGAAATTAAGAAAAAAAAAAAAAAGTAAAAGTATTACTAGCACTCAGAAATGAAAATGAGGTGCTATAACATATAAAATTTCAGGTACTTCAGTATATTCTTGGGTTCATAAAAAAAAGTAAAATAAAAATTAATTAAAACTGAAATACAAGGAAATAAAAAAGTATGAGAAATAAAAAAGATTTGAAGTCAGAAGTGAAAGTCTGCCATTAAAATAGTAACATAGCAAAGAGAATAGATTCTTTAGTAATATAGTAGTTGTAACAAGAGAAAGTAAAATATATAGGAAAAGAGATAAATAAGACGAGTATAGATTTGAAATAGAAAAAAATAAATGGTAAATTATTTATAGCAAGATAATTTTGACGTAGTAATACTGATAGAGGTATTTGAGAAGACAAAATAGAAGAAGAATAATTTAAAAAATAAGGAAGAAAATTCAGGATTCGAAGAAATAGAAAAATAAAAAGTAGAATTTCAATAATAATTGAAGAGAAATGAAGAAAAAAGAAAAGTACTAGTAGTAGAAACGTCATTTTTACAGAATGAAGAAGAAAAAATTATAAAAAGAAAAACAAATAAATGAAATTTGACAAAAAGAATTGTACTGATAGGTAAAATAAAAACAAAGCAGTGAATAAAAAGGAAAGAAAGAAAAACAAGAAAGTAATACATATAGTAATTTTGTTGTCTCACAATTTCAATAATCCATGCTAATATTATTTTGACAGGTGATCAATGAAATTGCGAGACACATGGAAAATAAAATGATAGAAAGATAGAGCTATCACAGAGCGTTAAATTCGTGGAGAAGGTTAAAATCGCTCTGATCGAATGTTCTCAATTAGGATCACGATTAAATCCAATCCAAAAATATTCATTCAGAAGAAATTCAATAACGAATTCAAATTTTCATCCTCAATTCATCAAAGATTACTACTAAACATCAATTTTGTATTTTCCAGTATATCAGATCGATTTCAAATTCTTCCATAGATATCGGCAAATCAGTTTCAAAAAATAATTCAATTTACAATAAAAATTGACGAGTAAATGATTAATTTCTGAAGAAATTATTTCAAAAAAAATAATAAATAATAAAAACAATTTCACGTTATCGATTCGAAATTAAGTTCAATTTAAATTCCCACGAGTTAAAATATTCTAAATAATTTTTGATATTTGCTTATTAAAAAAAAAAGCGATCGTTGTCTCGGTGGTTCAATTATACGAATTAGCAGATTATATTTTAGCAATTCTGTATCCAGAGAACGTGACGCCGTCTGATATTTTTCCACTATCGACGAAGACAGCTAGCTGATCTCCAACTTCAACGTCCAGCAAGATCAAATTAGCACCACCTCCTGCCCCAGTGCCAACCACAGGTCTCCAGCTGTCAGAATTGTTTTGTTTCTTTTTCAAAGTTAATCGAAGATCGGTGCTTCCATATCCGGCAAAGCTGAATTGATACAGGCCTGGACAGTTGGTGACGAAAATTCCTGTTTGGGGTACGTAACCCACGCCTTTGTCGACCAGTGTCTCGGCGAATACGGCTTTGGCATGCTGGTGGATCAAATAAAAATTTGTTAAATAAATTTAGAAGCTGATGAACCATTTGTGAAAATGGCTAGACTCTGGTTTAGAATCTCTCTTATTAACTGATTAAATTCAATTGTTGAAATTAATTCAAACAAATCATTTCTATATTTTTTTCGTGCAATGAAATATTTATTTATATATATATATACTTTTTATTTATAATACTTTTGAAATAAGTCTTAAAAGTTGTTTTAAACTGATGATTATTAGCAAAATTTTATAAATTACAAGTTCGAATAAATAAAACGAAAATTTAAACAAATTATAAGGCAACGAATTATTCTATTCAATAATAATAATATGTAGAATAAAAAATTTATAACCTATATCCTCCCAATTTATCGATTGGTCAACATCGTTACAAGTTAAAGTTCATTGCAAAATTATTGTGCAAGAGGACGTTTATTGATGATGTTTTAAAACATCGTGTATTTAAATTAAGAATTTAAAAAAGCCTATATATAATTTATGTAAATGATCCTCTAAGATTTCATCACATTTTCTTTCTTTTTTTTTTTTTTTTGATTTAATATTTAAAAATTCGTTCAAAGTAAGGGACTCACATCGACAGATGCATGGGTCGCCGAGAAAGCAATAATTCCGGTGCAGTCCACCGCAGTTGACAGTTTCAACGGGTTGGCAGCCGAGGTTTTAGAATTTGGTGGATCCGGTATAGCCGCCTCCGCCACGATAGATGATGTTGCTATCAACACTAGCCACACCACCCTGCAACAAATATTTTTACGTGGTCAGAACGATTTACGTCACGAGATAATAATAACAATAATAACAACGAATCAAATTACATTTTGTTATATGTTTAAATTTCTCGTAGCGTAGCGTCAACACGTTCGCGAAGGAATGGCAATCTTTTCCACGTTTCCATGCACACTCGGCGGAATTACAAATGATAATTATCGATGACTCACAAGTTCGGTTCTCCTCGTTAAATCTTATTTTTATAACATTGATTACATTGGAACGCGATACTATTGAGAAATGTATGCGGATCGATGTTTAATTTAATGAAACACGACGGTTTACGATGATTTTAATTAAAGTATCCGGATTAACAATTATTAATTACACTAATTGTAAATTAATTCAATAATTATTTACTACCAAAAATTTAACACCGTGGAAATATAGATTCTGATAAAAAAAAAAAAAAAGAAAAAGCATCGTCAGAAAATGTGGGAATATTTTCCATATCCATTGCGAATAATGTTAAAAAGTGTGTGTAAATACGGAAGAATAGAAAAAAGTGTTTATCAAACTATGCAGTAGAAAAATAAATCTTCGTTTTGTTCTTACGTAAGAAGTCAAGTACGTAGCTCGAATCATATTTAATTTCATCTCGTTTATTTTCTTCCTTTTTTCTTCTTTTCTCTCTCTTTTTTTTTTTTCCTCTCTCGTTTAAATCACGTTTTAAATCACAGGCCTGACCATTCTTGGCAAAGTTCAACCCGGTTTACGGACTTTCACTGCTCGCGGCTACCTCTCCATTCGCTTCACCTTTTTCACCTTTTTCATTTTTCTTTCTTATTCTTCTCATTTACACACACAGATCTTTCCCTTATCCCGGACTACTTTCGTTTTCGGCGTACCGGTTTCGGTTATCTCTCCTCCCCGGTGAAATCGTTACTTTCTGCCTTGTACCAGATATTATTCCAAGTGAAATCATTCGCGTTTGCAGCTCGATGGATGCTGAAAGTTCTCCTTTTTTTTTTTCTTTTTTCACGATGAAACATCGATTAACTTAATAATCCATTCTTCTTCTCTCAATTTTCTTCCAATCTTTCGTTCTTTCAATCGTTCAATTTTTCTTTTCAATTTTCTAATCGAATTGAATTTCATAATTTTTATTCTTCCTCTTTTATTCCACAAAATTGGGCAAAATTGTATTACAGAATTTTTCTTCCCCTCATTTTTTTTTTCATCGTATGCAATGCGATATAATAATCTCGAACAAAGACGTTTCAATAAATCGAGCGTAAAATTTATTGCAATTATCGGTCTTGCTCTATTAACCGCGTATCTGGCACAATGAAAGCAATAAAAAGCACTGGTTCTTGGTCAAGCACGATCTACCAGAAATGCCAATCTCATTAAACTTTCTATATCGAGAGAAAGTCATATCATGTACAATAATTAATTTTTTACCTCTCTCGTATTTATTGTAATAATTATTCAGATTATTCTTATGTTCCCTCGCTTCGAACGTTCGTAATAATTCATAATAATTCCAACTCGATTAACTTCGTTTAATTGGTATCTGTATTATCTTCATTAATACAGAAGTAATTATAGAAATAATACAGAGAGACAAACACGACATTTTTTATTATAAATTAATTCTCGAGGAACGAGGAAGAATTTTCTTAACAAGAATATATATATATATATAAGGATTCAAATAAGTAGATTGAAAAATATTTCTTTTTCTTAATCGATTCGAACATTGATTGATTAGAATCCCTCGATGGAGGAGGAAGAAGGAATGAACTGCATAGTTAAAAGTGAGTGTAATGTAACGTTGTAATAATGCACTTTTAACCCCTGAATCATGTTTATCCGTGAAAGATAAAATCAGAAATCCTTTCACTTTGGTGAGCTTCAAGGCGACAATCTCACGTGCGATATATATAATGTCGCCCACGATAATTGGAATGATACAATAAACACGACAATTCGTGACTTCGTTTCGATGATTCTTAAGATTTCTAAAAAAAAGAAAGGGATCTACACAGAATCATTTTTAATCAATCGTGCAATTATCCGTGAATTGAACGAGTAATTGAAAAAGTTAATTAAAATTATTGTGGACATTTAAATATAGATATGTAAATTTATGTAAATATTATACGATATTTAGATATTTAAATCTTATTATTAAGTTTCTTGGAAGGGAATAAATTTTTATTGCTTCGCTGTAAAATTTTAAAGATGAATTGTTTTACATTCTGTTCACCATTGTTAATTTTTTTTTTTTTTTTTTATTTATTAGCATGGAAAATTTTCCATTTTTCCCGTTTTCTACTAAAAAAAAAAAAAATTTTAAAATACGTATTCCAGATCGATAAAATAAATTGCATGATGACTTATAGAAAATGGCGTTAGAAATGTTACATCGCTCGTATTATGCAACGAATTTGCATACATTATGACACGATATGCAACGTGATCCATTTATCGCGGAATACAAATTAACGAGATAAAGTCTGCGTGCTCTCCTTGACATACCTACTCGAAACATAGTTTTTCTTAAAGATCGTTCTTTATTATTATTGAGCAAAAATATTCCAAAACATATTAATATTTCTGTGTAGAAAATTCTGAATACAATTTAAACATTATAAAAAATAAAAAAATGATGCTAATGATATGTAAATTATTTCTATTTGTAACGTAAGTAGAAGTACATATTCATCGAGTTGATATCGTAATATTATAAAGGTCATAATGTTTTCACGAGGATTACACATAGAGCAGTATTTCATTTGAATATATGTAAAATATATTTTTTGAAAAAGTCTCTGATTACTACTAAGCTTCTGATTAAAAATTAAATCAATGGATTGTAAAAACAATCATTTTATCTTAAATTCTGAAATACTGCAAATTTAATTGGAATTATTATTATTGAAAAGATATTGAATAGAGGCTTTATCAATTTTTTCGAAATTTCTTAATCCAATTCTTCGTTATCGCTCATTGGATGACTCGTTGGAATATTAGATTAAACTATTCAAAAAAAAAAAAAAAATGAGAAAAAATGAATCGGTCAACTTCCATAATCAAAAACTCATTTCATGTAATTATATATAAATATACGTTCAATCAAAAATATTAAAATATTACGATAAATTGATAATAATCTGTTCAAAAAAAAGAAAAACTATTTTAATGATGAAAGAAGATTAAGAAAATCCTATTTTAGTAAATTTCAATCAAATTATCAATTTACTTCGTAATACGTATGAAAGCGTGAAAAGAAAGAAATTAAGAAATTAATGATTTTAAAGGGACTCACATGATGGTGGAAAGTGGTGTGGCAGTGGCGGACGTCCCCAATCTCGTTGGACAGAACAACTTGTTCGATGTTCCAAGTAAGTTGAACCAGGTGAAGTCGACGCACGCCTTTATATTACCTTGGAGAGTGGACAGCTCGATGCCACCTCCAATGTCTTTCCTCCCTCGTCTCGTTCCTTTCCTTTTCCTCGTGTCGAATAAGTAAGTAAAGTATTCTGCTCTTGAGTCCCCACTCTCTCTCTCTTTCTCTCTTTTTCCCTCTTTCTGCCAACATTAGTTAGAGAAATAGATAGTGACAGTCAAATAGCTCGAAGCTCAGATTGGAAAGCTCTCTGATATGGTATTAAATAGAAACGAAGGTAGAAATCTAGAATTTATTTTTTCAATTTTCAGATTACTATTTTTGTAAATAAATAAATCTTTAGGGAATAAATTAATCTACTAAATTTTTGGAGTTGATTGAGATTGAAATAATAGTTTGATTTATTCTGATTTTTATTCTAATTGAGAGATGAAAATTTTGCTATTCTTCACTTTTAGAAATCTTGTAGTCTTAATAATATAAAGTGAAGTTTTATTAATTTTATAGATATATTTAAGATGATTATTCATACGAACAGAAAATATATGAGTTTATTATATGACTCAAAGAGATCATTAGAGATCTGAAATTTATGCTGGAATATTACTTTTAATATTATAATCCAAAAGTAAAGATTTTGATTAATAATTTTATCGAGGAATGTTTTATTATAAATAATTTGAGAAATGAAAAATAAATTTAAGAAGCTTTTGATAAAAATAAGTCAAAAATACTTACAAGTGATCACAATTAGATATAGATACACAAAATACCTACATCAGTATAACATTCACTATGCGGAAGTGAATATATTTATTCGGTTAATCTTTGTCTCAAAGTGATATGCAAATTAATAGAGAAATAAATTTCTTCGAACAAACGTCATTAATCTGGTCTTTCAAGTGACATTTCAATTTATGTATTGCCTTTATTATGCGTAATATAAAAGGTAAATTGTGCACAATTATCTAAAAAAAATTCTATGGGTAAGTTTAATTCGAATAGAAATTAAGTTTCTATTTTGGTATACAATGGCGTAATTGGATATAAGCATAATGGTAACTAGGACAATGTGAAATAATTATACTTACATGCTCGATATATTAATTATTCCACTTTCAATTTTTCAGTTTTCCAATTTTCTAATTTTTCAAGTTCTTTTTTTTTCTTTTTATCTTCAATGTGTTCCAATTCTTTTTTAAATTTGAATCTTTCATATCCTCCGATATTTTAATCCTTCGATCCTTCGTTTCTTTTTCCTTTGTTTCTTCTAGAATAATACCGAAAAAATAAAATAATTGCATGAATATTATAACGATATGATCGAATATTTTAATAAAATTATTCACATCCTGAGATTTCAATCGCTTCCTCGACGTTATATCGAATCAGTTATTTATAATTGCGCGAGCATGGGTTATTTAATACTATCGTGTTTATGCAATTGCCGATGGCATAATTTATGCTATATACCTTCGAACAACAAACTTCGAAATATTTTTTCCCTACCTGTAATCGTATGCAAATGTATGCAAAAATTGGCACACCTAATCTTTGATCAGAAATAAAGTTCCACTCTAGGATATCGATTGCTATGTATCACGAAAAAAAATAATAATAACTTTCACTTTGGCTTTCGAGTCATGTTATCTCGTTCGTATCGAGTTATTCCTTGATTCTGCATCATGTTCACCGGTTCTACGCATTTCTAAAAGTAATCTTGATTTTTTCCTTTTTTTTTTTTTTATATAGTGAATTTATTACATTTACGCTTTCTATAAAAATAAAATAAAATCATTTAACGTATAGCAGCAATTTTGTCTATAGCAATACGAGTGCTTCTTTCTTGACGAAAACAAATTCGGGAAACGATGCAAATGATTCGTATTTATTTAAAAAAAAAAAATATAGTATACTAATTGATTTTTTAAGCTTTGAAATAATGCGAATTGTACAATATATAAAAAATATTATCATTTTTTTGCATAAAAATGATATCATCAAATGTATAAAATAATAATTATGTAAAAATAACACTGTTCCTTTCATTGATTATGTTAATTTACGCGATGCAAATATATTTCGACAGGAAATGATTGCCTGTATCTCGTCAAACAACTGATCTTTCTCTGAGAGAATGTACAAATTTTGCGTAATCTATGAATTGATGGTAGAAAGGGTTTGAAATGACATATGAAAGCACGAGTCATAATTGTGGTAGTTGACATGGGCCAGCCAGCCTATTACTAGAGAAAATTTCATAAATTACAAACTTTCCTTTAAATATTATAATATTCGAGTACTTTTGTTTTATAACAGGTCATCTATCAATCAGTTTTACATAAATATAATTTGTATCATTAAAAATTAATATAATAAATTTAATAATATTTTATTTGAAATTTTAATTGATCTTAAATTAAAAAATCAAATAATGTATTATAAAAGGAATTGTTTTTTCCCTGACTTCTTAAACAATTTTCTCTTTTATTTAATAGAAATATTTTTGTTTTATAATGGATTGTTATAAGAGATTGCTTATTAATCAATATATTATGCAAACAAGATTCATATTTATCAAAAACTGGTTAAATTAGAATTTAAAATTATAATATGGAAGGAAAAACTCTAAGGTGAACAAGTTTTCTATCTTTTAAAGATATTTACATTATAAATAGAGAATTAATAAAATTATTATGTTTGTGTGTCGTTTCCCACTTAAGAACCCGATGAAAATGTATCAGTGGGTCATTCGAGACAGAGTTTACTTAGAGTGACCTCCATTTTCACTCCTTCGCCTCTCTACAGACTCTCCATTTCTTTCTATGGGAAATGGAACGTCTAAAAAATCAAACAAATCATAATAAATCAATTTTTATCAATTGTTTCATTTTATCTAAATATAATATTTTCTCAAAAATAATTGTGAGTAAGTTACTTCTATTGTTTCTCTATTATATTATAATTATTAATTAATAATTAATTATTAAGAAGAGTTATTATTTGCTATCAGAAAATTAATTACCAATTAAAAAGTAATTGATGTTAAAAATTAATTATCTATAATTAATATTTATTGACAATTAGTATTAATTATTAATATTATTAATAAATTATATTAATTAACATTCAGAATATATAGATAAATAATATTAGTAATAGATATTTTTGATTTAAAATTTTATATTAATAATTACATTCGAGACTCTGATGTCAGACAAGGATAGAAGAAGATAAGAAAAGGATAGAGATAGAGTAAAAATTAAGGAATCAGCGCCATCTCCAGAGTGCCGCAGATGAAACAATTAGAACAAGAAGGATAGATATAAAAAAAAGGACAGAGATAGAATAAGAATTGATAGCAATCGCCATCTCTCGAGTGTCAAAGATATTTCTATAAAAAAAAATAGAAGAGCGGAGCGGACCAACCATCTTAAGGGTACCAACCTTTTTTAAATATTTTTTCTTTTCATAAGAGATGGCGCAAACAGTTCAATTCTTATCTTATTTTACGATGTCTTTAAGAATATCTTTGGCATTTAAAAGATGTCACTAACTATTAAATCTATTTCTATCCTTCTCTACTATTTATTCTCTTTGTCTGTATTTGTTTCATTTATATTCACTTTGGAAATGTTTTATGTATATTTTTATATTTTTTTTATGTTGTTTGAAAGATAAGTATATATGAAATATTAAAATTAAAATGTTGGAAAAATATTTTTTTTATATGACAACTAAAAAGATAAATATGAAAAGGTAAGTAAAAGATAAAATTAAAAAATTAATTTTATTACATTCCTTGAAAAATTTTGCATGTTAAATTATATTCTTTTAATTGAAAATTGAAATTTTAAGCGCAAAAATTTTTATTCACATTTAGGATTTCGTAACAAGAGAATATAATTAGAAAGAAGATAACACGTTAAAATATTCTGAAATTTGTTTTACTCGCCTATTTTATATTTATCTTTCATACTTATCTCTTAAAATTATTACATTTTTTGAAACTTAAACATAAAAAATACAAAAATGTATATATTTTTAGACATTAATAAAATTTTTAGGCGACACTTGCAATTTCATTTGGAGGCCAATATAATAATTAAAAAATATTTTCAGTTTTAAATAAAAAGTAACCATGCTTCTTTAAATGAAAAAATTTAGCTTCAAACAAAAAATTGAACGGACAAATGACAAATGTGTTTCTTTTTCTTATTTAATAACATAAGCAAAATACATTTTACATAATATACATGCAATCTAGATAAAAAGAAAAGTACAAAATAAGTAGAAACAGCTTTTCTTTTTTTTTTTTTTTTGTACAATTATTATATATTTTTATTCTAAGTTCGTAACATTACATTAGACAACCACAATGAAATGGCACGATTATCGAAGCTTCGACCTAAAAAGTGTGCAAAATTGACAATAAAAGGGAATTCTCGTCAATGTGAAAACGATCTTGCAAGGATTTGTCGCAATAAACCCTTAAATTCTAGTAGTAATAAGCGGCAAATAAATAATAATTGCATCGAGAAGAAGCGGGGAAATAGTAAATAGAGAGATAGGAACGGAATGAACACGGAGTCAAGATAAGCTTAAATGTAAGTAGTGCGCAAAGAAGATTTTAAATTTTCCCGCCATTGATAGGATGTACGAAAAAAACTAGTAAAGAAGACATATTCAGTAATACATATTACTGTTTTACACGATATTACCCTATAAAATATATACAAATGTAAATCGCCAATAATTATTTAAGAAAAATTCAATAAAAATAAACGACAATTGACAGAGATAATAATATTCGTTTGAATTTTAACTATTTTTTTAGACCCAGTTTCTCGTTCCCTCAGATTTAATATATTTTTTCATTTATTTTATTTTTTTATACAAATTTCAATTTCGACTCTTCTCAATTTCTTCTGTATGAAAATAATCTATCAAAAATTTGCCAATTGTTTATATAAATATATTCTCTTTTGTATCTAATATCAACAAATAATTACAGACTTTTAAGATCAAGGTTTATCATTAAATTCTTCTGTAAAAAGAAAATATTAATCTCTTTTACTCTCTTACTCGTTTTCTTCATTTTTTTTCTTAAAGATTATATACAACAATATATTTCCTTCATTTGGCAGTAAAAATTCAGATCAGAAAGGGTTAATTTTTGTGTTTGCTTTTCTTTTCCTCGTTTAATTCTTTTTTTTTTTTTTTAATTGCTAACTCGTCGTTATTTACAAATTTCGAACAGTAGGGGACGTTATTTACAATCGAATCGCACACAGCATCAACTTTTTCTCTCTCGCGATTCGGATCGGTGAGCACAGCTTGACTTTCACTCTGAACAGTGTACTTTCGCATCGCGATACCTCGATCTCCTTGGATCTCTCTTTAATCTTTGTCTTTATTCTTGTTAACCTCAGAAATATTTTCCTTCATACTTATATATATATATATATATTTTTCAATGATAAACAGATTGAATATAAATTATTACGTTCATAATATTTGTCACAGAATTTTAAAATATTATTTATGCATTAAAAGAATATGTTTTAATAAATAAAGAGAACTTTGAATGACGATAAATATTCTGAGATATGATACAGTGTATATAGAGAAAATTTGCAACGTAAAGGATTGATTGAAACTCATATTAAAAACAATAAATTCAGAAAAAAATCAATAACCGTGATATTTACAATTGCGAAGGAAACAACTTCCAGATGCAAATGAAAGTAATAATGCTTTTAATTTATTCTCCGGAGGATCGAAGAAGAAAAAGATATTGTTACTTTTCAGAAGGGAAGTATCTAAAATTAAACCAATAAATAATGAATAAGAAAAAACTTATAAAAAAATTAAATTAAAAAGATAAAACACAACAAATATTTACACAAAATTGAAATCTAGGAAAAGTGTAAAATCAAATTTAGAAATTTGATACGGTAATTTTCCTCCATATCTTCAAATTTTATCTTCAAATCTTCAAAATTATTTAATTATATCAAAGAAGAAGATGATGTCGCGATACGTAAGATCGAGAAGCTTTGTTGAACAGTGAACCACCTAAACTAACAAATTATTGTCCTGGCAGGCCGGACCCATGCTCGGCCAATTGCATGCTCCGGCGCCATTATCGAAGGTTAAATGCACAGGGCAGTTGAACATGTGGAGCGTGAACTTCTTCTTCCACTCGTCCCAATGGCAAGCGTAAAACTTATTGCAGAAATTGGGATGTCTGAACAAACCTGGTCTAGCACAGTTGGTGGCTCCATCTATGATCTCCTCCGATTCACCATCTCCGTCAAAGTGGTTCACAGGTGTATCTAAATTTCTGGTGATATGATGACTAATGACATTGGTAGAGGATCCAACGTTGTTCAAACTCTTTCCAGATCTGTAATTGGCAGCGAATCTTGAAGTACTAGGGCTTATTGAAGGAGTGACACTTGGCAGATAACTGAATGATGGCGTCTCTTGGATTTGAGAATGACTCTGTATTTGATTGTTCCAGATCTTAGTTGGTCCTTTAGAGGATTCGTAATTGGTTACGTAATCTCTATCCTCGTATGAGCCACTTTCCTTCTCAAGATCTACGTAAATCTCTGATTCGTCGTAATTGGATAGATCCACTTTGCCTTTGGAGGAATCAATCAATTTGGAACCTGGACCTCTAAGATTGGCGAAAGGATCCCCTCTACAGGTGCATTCTGCGCCTAATTTTCCAAGCAGAAGAGGATGCAGATCACTCCATTTCACTATCACTTTGCCTTTACCTACAGCTGTCGATTTGGCAGTAGTTTGATAAGTAATCGAGGATGAATAACCTCCAGAATAAGTAGTCACTGAGAAAGGCGATTGTGTCGTTTTAGCGACTGAGGATGTTGATGAAACATAACCTGGCCTGGATGTTGATGATTCTTGATGAATCTTGGAGTAATCTGCTCCAGAAATAGATCCTGTTGTGTAAACGTCATATTGATTTGGCACATATTTGGTATTGCCTCTATAATTAGTAATCAATTTTCCAACTTCCTCTTTAGGAATTCCTACGTTCGTAGGAGAACCATCAGTACCAGTAACCGATCCTATAGTGTACGTTTTAGAAGTTGTTGGTGTTGATGATTGATAAGTAACACTAGGTACTGGTTTTCTATATTGGTATGTTGCATCAATGGCTGGCGAGATTGTGCCGCTAGGCAAATAATGAGGCTGAAAAATTGAATAAAATCATTTAAATATATAAATATATCTTGATTAAATAATGATGATCTTATTAATAAAGTTATTAATTAAAATTTTCTTAAAATTTACTTGTGGTTTCAGTGATTCTGAAATGCCAGAAGATGTCACAGTTTCAAACACGTTCTTAGTGAAATATCCAGAACTGGATAACGGAGTAGTAGATCCAAACTAAAAATATTATTAATAAGATTATTGTAAATCGCACAACAATAATCTTCCAAATTATAATAGTTAAGAAAAAGACACACCTCTGGACCTGATATCTTGAACACTGTTGGTGGTGTGCTAGTAACATATTCGTTCTGTTGAGTAGTTTTTATTGCAAAATTAAATTTGGATTGAGACTGAGTTTGATATTTGTCCTGACTTATGGTCACAGGAACAGGCGTCGAAGATACAACAGTCTTATATCCAGTATCGATCAATGGATGAACTGTGGATACACTAATTGGAATTTTAGCTGCTTCAAAGACAGTTGTCTTATAACTGTCTAATGGTCCAGTAGTATAACCAACAGGTGTACCAATCGAAGGTGCACGTGTGAAACCACTTGGTCTCTGATAGGTGCCTACAGTTGGACTGACAGGTTCACTGAATTTTGGCGTGTTATACAATTCAACATTTAAGAAAGGTGTTGGAGTAGTTGCAGTAATAAAACTGCCCTCTGTCGAGGAGATTGGTAAAATTTTTGTTACTCCACTTCCATCAAATGGAATGCTAGGTGTGGGATAGGAATAGCCAGGACTCTTCGAAAGACTAGATTTCTGATCGATATCTTGATTGTATGTCGAAGTTGCTCCTGAATAGGCTGTATTGACGCTGCTTTCAGTGGACGATTTCGTGTACCCTGCTACATTACCTTCGAAAGCTTTCGCGCCAATATGTTCAGGATTTGGAGTTGGAACTGATTTTCCAGTATTAATTACGTAACTACCACCAGCTCCTAAAGTAGCAGTAGTAAAGCCAGTCTTGGTAGGACCAGTCTTAGTAAATCCACTAGGGTATGAAGATCGATCTTTGCTTCCAGGAATAAGAGTGTCTGGGGGAATTGATTCTCCAGATGGCCTGTAGTCTGGAATATCTTTTTCTGTGTATTTGGTTGTCACGTCGCCGTTGTTAAATCTAATGGTACCACGTCCTCCATTATCATAATATTCGTTAGTCTTATAACTGGTGCCATGTGCTGGTGACATGCTTGCAATTTTGGTTCCATACGAGTATGCTGGTGTGACAATTCCAGATGGAGTTGTATAACCTGAGTCAGTAAACACGTGATGTCCTGTGGAGCCAATTGTTCCTTGATCGATGGAACCACCAATAGAAACTCCAGGTGCTGTTTGTCCTGTGAGTACTAATCCATAACTCGTTTGACCTTTTACGACAGTTCCAACTTCTGGTGCTCCGGTTATTACGACACCAGGTGTAGATGTTCCATATATCACAGTTCCAGGACTAGCAGAACCATAGACAGTCTTGATTCCATCACTGACCACGTAGCCAGGTGTACTTGGGCCAGTTTTCGTGTATCCTGGATGACTTATTCCAGTTGCTATGCTACCTTGATTGGAAGGACCTGTGAAAACTGTACCAGAATCGCCTCCATAAGTGATAAGTGTCCCTGGAGTGGAATCTCCAGTGATGATCGATCCCTGGACACCGTGTCCTGTTGCAATACCACCAGTATCAGTTGTTTTTATTTTATAGATGTCATTGGATATTACGTCTCCATAATATGATCTAGAAGGCACATGACTTCCTAAAGTAGCATTCAAACCTTTAGTATATCCACCAGTGACTTGATAAACGTTTGTTTCAGAAGTAATTCCGTGGTTTGAAATGTAGTCATTTGTTGTATAAGTTTGGCTACTTGGTGGTGGAGGAGAACATTGGATGGTAATACAAGTTGGTACATTAGGCTTGTCCACAATAATGGCTATAAATTAAATAATAATAAATTAAATATTTGAATTATTTTCAAATAAAATTATTCTTATGAAAACTTACGAGTTTGTGAATATATATTAGTTAGTCCAGTTCCACTTGTATCACTGAAAGTATAAATTGGAGTCTGCGATGATTGTCCACTTTGGCCTTCTGTTCTAGATCCTGAGAACTTCGTTCCTGTTTGCCCGGTATAAATATATCCAGTTCCTGAATAATCAGTTGCTGCAGAAGATCCTGATATCGTAGATCCATAAGAAGATCCTGGAGATTTTGTAGTAGAAATACCATCTTTTATTCCTGATCCATTATAATCTTCTGTTACAATGATAGGAGTTCCTCTAGAATATCCATCAGTGAATCCCACATTAGTCCACTTGTATATCCTCCATGACCTGTTGTTCCTGGATATCCTTTATCAATTGATTGTGATCCAGTACCATGACTAATAAAATCTTGTCCTGAATATTCTAGATTTGTACCAGTTTTACTCGAATACGTGGGTCTAGTATAACTTGTGCCAGTTGCTCCACTATATATTTGATTTGTTTCTGTATGTCCAACGCCTCCTGTTTCAGTATATCCAGTAGATGCTTGACCTGTTCCAGTGTATCCAGTAGATACTTGACCTGGTCTAGTATATCCAGTTGATCCTTGATCTGATCCAGTATATAGTCCAGTAGATACTTGATCTGGTCTAATATATCCAGTTGATCCTTGATCTACTCCAGTATATAGTCCAGTAGATACTTGACCTCTTCCAATGTAACCAGTAGATATTTGACCTGTTCCAGTATATCCAGTAGATACTTGACCTGTCCCAGTATATCCAGTAGGTACTTGACCTGTTCCAGTGTATCCAGTAAATACTTGACCTGGTTTAGTATATCCAGTTGATACTTGACCTGGTTTTGTATATCCAGTTGATACTTGACCTGGTTTTGTATATCCAGTTGATACTTGACCTGGTTTAGTATATCCAGTTGATACTTGACCTGTTCCAGTATATCCAGTAGATACTTGACCGTTCCAGTGTATCCAGTATGTACTTGACCTATTCCAGTTCCTGAATATCCTATATTATGAGATCCTGTATATACTCCATTTGTTGATCCATAATGATCTGGTCCTGCATTTGGATTATCATAATTAGATGCTCCTGTTTTTCTAGTTTTTTCACCATAGTTTATCGTGCCACTTCCTGAATATCCATGATCAATTTTTGTTTGACTTGTACCTGTTCCAATATATCCACTTCCAGTCGTTCCTGAATATCCAATAGATCCTTGATCAGTATAGGAAGTACCATGATCTATTCCTGCTGATCCAGAATATACAGCACCAGTTGTTCCAGAATAACCATCAGTTTTTTGACCAGTATATGTAGTTCCATGACTTATTCCTACTGATCCAGAGTATCCTTTACCAGGTATTCCAGAATAACTATCAGTTTTTTGACCATAAGTTGTTCCATGATCTACTCCTGCTGATCCAGAATATTCTTTACCAGTTCCAGAATAACTACCAGTTTCCTGGCTGGTATACGTAACTCCATGACCTCCTCCTATTCCTGTCGAACCAGTGTATCCAATTCCAGCTGTTACAGAGTAATCGTTAGCTCCTTGATTAAATAAAGTTCCATGGCCTCCTACTTCTGTTGAGAATCCACCAAACCCTTGATCACCATACGATGTTCCATAGCCTTTTGTTACCGTCGTGCCAGTATGTCCTCCAATTCCTTGTCCAAAAGTGGATCCAATTCCAGCTGATCCAGAAAATCCTGATCCAGTACCAACCGTTGTACCAGTATATCCTCCTCCTCCTCCTCCCAGTGTTCCCGTGTATCCATGAGGTAATGCTCCAGTATAATATCCTCCAGTACCTGGAGTGGATCCTGTGCCATATCCTCTGCTGTCATATTCCGATCCTGTGTAACCACTACCGGAATAGCTTACTACCAGCCAAGGCCATTCGCAAATTAATTTTTGCTCGTCGAAAATCAAACCGTACGGGCAACGAAACTCGTAGGCCATTATTTCTGGTCCTCCTATCGTGATAATTTTCCATTAATCATATATTTCAAATTATGAAATTGAAAAAGAAGGAAATAAATAAATAAACGAGAGATACAAACCTAGATCGATGCAGGCGAAGAACCAACGAGGATTTTGAGGATCCGCGAAGTAGCCAGTTTGGGATGGACAATGGAATCTTACTCGTGTCACAGGTGCAATTTCGCTGCTTCCAGGACATGGAGATCCTTCTGGCATGGAACCTGGCCAAACACAAACTTCTGTACTCTCGTCGAAAGATAAACCTGCTGGACAATCGAACTCGAACACGGAGTAATCTTCCACTTCTTGATTAAATTTCACGCATCGATAAAATCTGTTAAAAAAAAAAAAATAGGAAAATTTTATACAATGATTAATTTGCAATTGGGATATATTGTACCTGTTGCAACTCTTAGGATGGACGAAGTAGCCTTGTCTGGAACAAGTGAACTCGGTTTGAGTGTTCTCTCGAACCACTCTGATGTGTCCTTCTGTATCTACAACGCGAACAACTCGAAACTCGGATGATTTGACTTTAGTCGAATATTCAAGTTCTCTTTGCTGAAAAAAAATAATTTAATTTTATATAGTAAGTTGAATATTTAAGAAAACTATTATATTATTGGCAAGAATAAAATATGTATATCATTAATAAAGTAAAACAGCAAATTTCTTATAATAAAATTGAAATCAATTTAAATAATGTTGGAATTATCTATGTATCTATCGATATATAATTTATGATTTTGAAATTTCACCAAAAAATGAAGATTTCGATTAATAAAATTAATTTTATAAAATTTCGAAAATTAAGTAAAGCATTAGAGTTACATCGAATGATAATAAAAGGAATGTAAGATCCTTCTCAAAATATTCCATTGTCCAACAAGAAATATTTAAAGATGTAGATGTTAATTAACGTTAATAAGAGTCCAATTATTTTTATTTACGTGTAAATCATCTTCCAAAGCATTTAACACAGCAGCTCTAGACTTCCTCTTGAAATCCATGAACGAATGATGAATCTCATGCGTGATAGGCGCGCCACATTTCGTTTTAAAATCATTCTCTATATCGTGAACACCTAATCCAGGGAGATCTCGAACCAGCACGTATTTTCCCTTCAAAAATCAATCATAAAAATCATCAATTGTAAAATAATTTTGAAAATGAAAATAAAAATAAAAATGAATATTCCTCTCACTTTAATTGAAACCGATATTCTATCTTCAAAAGCAATCCACATTTTGTCCTTAAAAGAGTAAGGAGCAGTAAGATCTTCGTCTCTTTCCACCGTCCACTCTCCTTTATTCATCAAATTGCATAACTGAAAGTATAATAAGTATAAACAACACAAGTTCCATTCGTTCAATTTATACAAGATTTAATTTATCATTGCAGGTGTAGCATTGTAAGTAAACCTCTAACGTAAAAATCTTAAAAACATTTTCTCGATACAATACTCTACAAATTAAATTTTCAAAATAAATTTTATCTTCCTCTATATTAATCTCCCCTCATAAATTCTACACCTTTAAAATCAAAAATTTTCTTCTATTTCATCCAAGATACACCATCAATTAAAAGTAAAAAGGTTACGATTTACGATCAATCGATCAACCTCTTAATCCAAAGTTCCATTCTCCTCCATTATTTTCCAAAAATTGTTCATATAAATTGACCTCACACCTGTTTCTGATCAATGACAATCGGTTGCATCTCCTCGGTGGCCGCGCTCGGGGCATTCTCGTCCCGATCCTTGAGCGTAAACTTGTAAGCGCTTGACGGCACGGACACCAAGATTTTCCTCTTGGGCGCGCCCAATCCGCTAATCAAGTCGATCAGACTATCCGCGTTGAACATGTCGAAGAGGCCCATCAATCGTGACGGATGGAACGTACGATAAGACTCGTCATCTTCGACCAGGTAATGCGTGGGTACCGTGAATAGATCCACGTACCTGTCGGCGAAAAACACGGAACTCCATTTGCATTTATGCACACTTATGCGGAGAGGAATGAAAGAAGAAGAGGAAGAAAGAGAAGAAGAGAATGGAGGGAGGGGAAGGATAATCGTTAGTCGATTTATTCTATTCCTGAATCATTTCTGAAAATATACATATAAACACGTGTTGTTTCGAAACAACGTAATAGTTCCGGAATAGTTTGTACAAGCTGATCACGATTGCCGCTAATAAGTGTCGTCTCGATAACTATCTCATTCATATTTCAAGAAGTGTCGTCTCGAGTTACAACTAAAACTAAAACTCATGCATATGCGATGAAATATTTCGCATAGCATGAAAAGAATCATAGGTAATAGGTTTGTTATCTATATTATCTACACGATATCTCGTCTTTAAAAATCCTTTACAAACATTATCATACACTTTCAATTGCTATTATTATAGATATCATCAATAAGCAAAAGAAGTTACTGTATATATATATTATAGGCAAGATTAATTTTTTTTCGATCATATTTTAATATTTTTTATACGCCACACGTAATTTTTATTATTAGAAACGATCAACGAGCAAAAGGAAAATTCTTCTTTTTTCGTTCCACTTTGCCCTGTAACGCAACGTCCAATTGTCTAAAGCATCCATTGTCGTTCTCGATAATTTCGATCTCATTCGCATTTCTTCTCGTTCCTTGAACCCTCGTCCATATTCAATGACAAAAGTGGCAAACGACGTGTGCTACGCCTGTCATCTAAAGCGACCACGTTAATTGCAAGGCGCGTGAAAATCAAGCAAAGGATCGACCGAGAACGAGGCGCATCGACTTGTCGCGGCATTCCTAATGCGTTATCCGACCAAGAATTGGCACAAGGTTAGGCAGATACGTCGAGCATGGACGTGTAACGTGAGTGGTTTCTTTTTTTTTTTTTTTTGCTGAATCCGTTTTCACTCCGATTGTCGGTCAATAATTCATGAACTTAAATGCAATCGAGCTTCGAGATGCTATGTGTCTGGCTTAGGTCTGGTTACAAGTTGGGACGTTTTTTCACGGCTGGAAAAGGGAATAGTTGGGATAGATGTCTGAGAGTTTAAGGAAAGTTGAAAGAAGTGTCAACAATTATTGATTGCGAGGAGAAAAATTGAGAGAGTTATTCGAATGATATCGCGTTAAAATTATGTAACGTGAAATTTTTCGTTGAAAATAATATCTTAGTTCAGTTTAATAAAAATGAATTTTATAAAAAAGTTATAAAATATGGTGAATTAAAATTTTGTGAAGCTCTAATTCAAGCTTGTAATTTATCGAGGTTTTAAAATTTTATTTCTTACTTGGATAATTCTTTCAAGTCGTATTGTTTGGCCAAGTCCTCCGATTTCGTGGGTAGGAGCAAGAAGATTCTCTTGTCGTACGATTTCCTCACGAACTCGTCTTTCAAACCTTTCACAAAATGGGTTAAACGTTCCTTTGTTCCAGCAGTCATGTTCAACTCGAGTCCATCAACCTGTGGATAGATCGATCGAAAATAGAATTCGTTCGAAAATGAATCGTTGCGACTTTTTCCTTTTTTTTTCTTTTTTTTTGATAATAAAAATGTGAAATTGCCTCTTTCAAAACTCCGATCAAACGAGCCGTGATCTCTTGGCGAACTGTGCCGGAAGTTCTCAACGTTTGTGCAGGATCGTCCACGGAAATCACGAACTGAAGAGTTGGGACAATCTCCTTCAATGATTTCCGAAAGTTTTCGAATTCTAGAAAGAAATTAATAAAATCGAAACTTTAATTACTTTGATATATTGATAGATTGTTAAACAATTATCGTTAAAAGAACGAAGGAATTTTTTAAATGTAAGTAATTTTCGTTTAATTATATTTTATAAGAAGTTTGAACATTTTTTTGAGTGTTAAAAATTTCTTATTTTTATAATGTAATTTCTTGCAATTTCTTTATAATTACATCGTTCTGCATTTTTTTTGAAGGCTTGGTTATTGCATTAACTTTTTTCTAACCCTATAAATTACCACAATTTTTCCTCATTAGAGATACTCACCTAATTGTCAGATTTAGCGATAGTAACGTTCACTTGTAGAATAAAAACTGTTTTGCCAAGAATTTCCGGCTTCCTTTCCATGATTGTCGATCTCGTCGCACAATCAACACGATGCAGTTAGAAGAAATGTCTCCATACAATTAATCACGAACTTTCACGTATTTTTGTAATAGATTTTGACAGTGATTGTTGATAAAAGTTACTTTCTATTTTACAATATCCTATCTTTATTTATTAATCTTCTTTCCATTATATTATTTTTTCCATTAATTAATTTAGTAATTTTCACTATATATGATACTTTGCATAAAGAGTAGATTTGAATTTAATTGAACAAAATCGAAATTTCACTTCATAATAAATTTGAAAATCTTACTCCATGTAAGTAAGTGACATTAATTTTCTTTTTTTAAATTTTTGAAGGATATCTATAATGTTGAAAAAACTTTCACATAAACTACAACTTTCACGTAAAAAAATTAATAATAAGGATAAAATAAAAAAAAAGATAATCATTTGAAAAATAAAAATTCAGTCACGAAACGAAATTACTTAAAGTTACACCCTGTAATAATTTGACGACACGATGCTTCGATTAATATTTTTCTTCCTTCGAAAATACTTGTAAAAAGGGGGGCACGCGTGAACTGGTTCAAAATTTCCATATACGCTTGATCGATTATAGTTTTCATGGTTTTATGTAATTTTTTGCAATATGTAATTATGCTAAAAAATTTACTACACGAGAGAAATTATGTAACGCGAGTACAATAATGATTATTTATTTTTATTTTTTATAAATGGATCCGCGAAAGTGGATTTTCGAAAGAAAAAAAAAAAAAAAAAAAAGGACACGTAAAAATTTATCGTGATATTTGTCAGTTGGAAATGAAGCTAGATTTTAAAGGAACGAGATCGAACGTTGATACACGAAATAAGATTCAACGGCATGCGAGGGAAAGTGATATTCGTTACATCTGGATCATCTATAAGAACCACTTTCAACGCCACTGTCCCCGCTGTTTCATTAGCCACACCCATGCACGAATTTGGTCTGGGCTTGACAAACATTTTTCGAAACTCGCACGAACGACTCTTGTTTGAATTTATATCGATCTAATTTAATTCTATTTTTTTTAACCGAATGCGATTCACTATTCCATTTCGTAAATGGTTTTTAGTTCTTTTTAACGATATTTATTCTTTCTTCGTGATTGAATTAAAAATTAATTCGAATATTCGATTCTACTTTAAAATTAAATTTTAAAATTTCTAATTAATTTTTATCTTCCTCCAACAAAAACATATCGTCCAATACTCTCATTTCTTAATTCCTTTTCAAATAATTCTATTCATCTTCAAACAAATACAATATCAGAAATCCAAAAAAAAGAAAAAGAAAGATTTTTATTTGTCTCCTCATTAAAAATTCCTATTTTTCTCAACAAATCTAAATTCCTTTATTCCCAAACATCCTATACAAAAATAATTCTGTCGTATCAACAATCCAATCGGATCAATTAGCATGGTTTTTCAACTAAAAAAAAAAAAAAAAAAAAGAAAAGAAGAGGAAAAAAACAGAAGAGCGAAGGTTTCGCCTTGAACCCTTTCCAATTCGTCCCTGCCATTCGATTTTAATTGAAACTGGCTCCTTTCGTTATCGAAAAGACGTTTAATACCACGAGACGAGACGGGTCGAACGCGACCATTCATGGGCAACGGTCGCAGAGAAGAAAAAGAAGAAAAAGAAGAATACTCGTATGGATACTCGTTTTCGAGCGATTATGTCACAAACGTGGCTCGTGTAGACACGACTTCTGTCCTCGTCCCTCGAGTTTTTCACCTCATTTCGCCCTCATTTCCGTTTCTTCTCATCTCGTATTCACACTTCCTTTTCTTCCTTTTAATCGCACCTCCGTGATTCCCGGTCTGCGCGGCCAAAAATATCGAAATTTCACGCGTGACATACCGTCGTCAGCCAACCACCATTCCGTTATGCATAACAAATTGATTTTGGCGAAATTTCGAAATCTGTTCGATTTTTCTTTTTGACTCTTTTTTTCTTCTTCTTTCGATCGGTTGTTTGATCAAGGTTGTTTTTTCGTGTTGCACAACGCGATCTCGTCCCTTAAAGGTTCGAATTTTGCGGGTTTCGACGATCGATCTCGGATGGAAAGATGGCGAGATTTATGGGAATAAAGTGGCTGTTGCAATTTTATTAATAATAAAGTAGATCTTATTGCAAAGTGAAGGCGTGTAAATAAGCGAAGAAAAAGAAAATCAAAGTGGTGAATTATTAATTTCTCGATAAAATGAAACGGAAGGTTATGTTTCACAACCGATGTTTCTCCGAGAATATCAATGATTTTATTAAGTATAAAATTTTTGTTTTAGAATAGAAAAGGGAATCATTCTAATTTTTTTATTTCTCAAATAATCTTTATCAAATTATTACGAAAACACGAGAATAATATTATTTCATTCAAATATTCAAAATTTGATTATACAATTTATAATGATATACACATCCAACCACGAGATAAATTATATTTTCTTGTAACACTTTATGTAATTATAAAGTAAAACTTTATAATTAATAATAAAATAAAAGAAAATATTATATACATAGAGATAAATAAAGATGGAAATATCTTTACAGGAGCTCGAGGAATTTAATTTACATAATTACAGGTTTGATAAGTCATTGAACGTTGTTAATTGAACAACTATTTCGACATTTTTTTTTTTTAATAAGTAAATATCAATTGAATTGACATTTCGTCAAAAATTACGAAATATAATCCTCTCGTTCAGGATTCCAAGATGCAAATTAATTGGTACATCAAAGTCTCGAGAAGTGTTAACTTTTGACACGGAATAAATAAAAAAGAAAAGAAAAGCAACGTGAGATGTTCATTCAAGATTTAACAAGATCGGCTCACAGCTGAATATTCATCGAGCATTGTCTTCTATGAATATTTTAACGACGTCTTCGCGAGACAGACACGCTTCTCGATTTTATGCATTCTGGACGCACTTCCGACACGAACAGTATTTTTCTTTTTCGATTCTTTTGTTCATTCCGGTTCAAGGAAAGTCTTCGACTTTGTTTTGCTCCTTAATAGAATTTTCATTTTATCCACTAATTTTTATATAATTGACCAATTATTGCAAATCTGATTTTATTTAATCTTGATAAAAATAATAATTTATATCGATTTATTAAAATAACACCGATTAAATCGTTAATCACGTAAATAATAATAATAATAATGTTTTTGAGAAGAGATAATCACATAATTATATGATGATACAATTATTTTTCAATATTCCAAAAGAAATAATGTACATGTAAGTACAATTTGTTGATTGGAAGAACGAACAACGTAACAATTTTTCATTAACGTGGAATTATTAATAAATAGGATAAATATAGCCAGTGAGTCATTTTGATTGAAAAACGAACGATTTAGTATCGAAATATCGATGATAAACGATGGAGTTAAATCATCGAGAAAATCATCATAAATTACGTGCGTGTACAGAAGTTTGATGAGGGAACCGAGAATTGGTTTCTCAAGAGTGACAATATCATCGAATGTAAGAATACACCGTCTCTCGTGGTTGGATTTCGATATCCTGTTGCAAGTGCAAGGATGCAGCTGCACCTCCATGGATGCTGTGTTTTATGCAACCGCAAAAAGCATAATCGTATGAATTATGCAACGTTTAACGATTGATAAACATTTAATCGTTGTTTATAAAAGAAAACAAGAAATTATTAATAACTAATCTATTTCTAATAAAAAACCTTCTCTGATTTTTAACCGTATCTTGAATCAATTTTTTCTTTTTTTATTCTTTAATTTTTATCCTTGGATCGATAATATTTCGTTTCAAAAATTTTTAATTCCATGCCAATTACCTTACTTAGAAATAATACGATAAATACGATATAAATATATCAAGAAAATGATCGTAATTACATTTTGAATCGCAATCATATTTTTAAAAAAACGATACTCTTATCTATTAAATTTCCGATTTGACACGCGTAATTAACATTTTTCTTCTCGCCCGTTGATTTATCGTTTAGGCTTAATCAGCATGAGAAATCTTAATCGTTTGAAAAACTTTTTTTTAAGGAAAAAATCCATTTCCAAGAATGTTTTCCTGATATATCAACAAGATCTTTCCACACCGTTTTGTTTTTTCCTTCTTCTTCTTCTTCTTTTTTTTTTTTTTCTTTCCATAACGAGTGGAAAACCATTTGATACAATCATCTGGCTTCGATCATCGCTACTATCAAGAATCGAGGAATCTGTCTTTCACAAACAAACTATGTACAGTTTTGCACGTCCACCGTGTCGCAAAGATGGAAAAACGAAAACTTGGACTTACCGGAAACCGAAAGATTTCGCACGTCGAGGCCTTTTTGGACCAAAGTGGTGCATCTGCAAACAGCTTCCGTTAACTGTCCCACCTCGGAAACGGAAGTGTAACAGACCACCTCTCTTCCTGGTGATATCTTCTGTTTCGGGCATTCTGAAATCAATCAAGATGAGATATAGGAATAAATTATTAACAATTCTTCATATTTACTTGTTAGACTTATCTCTTATTTTCAACATTATTATACCCTGAACTTCGATACCCCTGATTGCGATCAATTAATCACAATAGCAGTCTAAACATTCTTAAAAAAAAAAAGAAAAAAATTAACATAATCCATACTGATTATAAATCGACAAAATCAAGATATCATAATTGTTTGTCAATATTATTTCAATGTCTTCGTGTTTAATGAACTTGGCACGATTACAACAAAATTAACGGTAATATTCCGTGGCCGTGAGCGAAAAAAAGAAAAAAAAAAAATAAACGAGCCAAAAATTAGTAGGTTTGGTTAGATCTGTTTGTTATGCACATTGATTGAACGTTGACATCATCCTTCGCGTACGCTATGCAACCGTTGCTATAATAATCGTTTACATAGGCCTTGCGGCTCGTCGACGAGGAAAAGAGGATGTCTTGACAGAGGAGGATGATAGCTGTGACATTTATTATCAACAAATTTTAATATTAATGTCCAGACTTCGAGAAAAGCGTTTCCATGACGAGGAACGAAGGAGGAGGGAAGTTGGAAGTTTTTTAAAATTTTAATTACGATGATCTAATTTTTTGATATTTTTAAATTAGAATTAGATTCTCGAATTAGAAGAATTAGATTGATTTCGGTAAAGATTTAGCTTGGTTTTCTGTTTGAAGTGGAATATTTTAGTATACGTAAGTAATTTTTATTCAAACTCAAATTAGTATTAATAACACTCTTAAATATTCCGACTTCGAGATGATGATATTTTTATATTATAATCGTTCTATGTTTCGATCAAAATTGAAAAGTTATTACGAATTTTATAGAAATCAAGGTGTAATTGAAAACTTCAAATTTACAGATAAAGTATTTCATCGACGTTCGATAGAATTTCCTGTATTTATAGATAAACGATTATCCACCCATAATCCAAATAAAATTTCTAACAATCCGTCCGAGTGATTACCGAGTGAAAAGTTAAAATTAACATTAACACTACATTATTATCTTATACATCCTGTACATAACAATAATCTCAAATTCGAGAAAAGTTGCTCAAGTTGGGAGAAAGTGCACACGCACACGGATCTTATTTTCTCAAATCGCGTGATCCATGCCCAAGTTCGAAAACGAAAGTTCCGATTTTTATCCAAGATGCAGACGCGCCTCCAAGGAATCCGATTCTCGAGCATCGTTGCACGTGCTTACGAAGATCGACCGGATTTAACGACGTAAATGGCGCCATCCTTGTATGGATCGTTGCTCCAGTTGTCGATGGCGTAATCTAACCTTAGAGGACAACGTGTTCCCGATATCGTCTACCCGCGATCGCGAAATCGCGAGGAAGATGTGGTGATCACGATCGATATTTGTAAGCTTCGTTTCAAAATCCAGGATGGAATCCAAAATTTTGCTGTTCTGAATGGAGGATTTTATTATATTCATGCAGTGGTTCGAATAATATGCGATCGATCGAGTTTATTGTTTTACAATCAACTTTTAAAAAATGTTGAAAAATTCGAATGTAGAATCTTTGAAAGAAAATATTTGTACAGGTTGAATTTACTTAGGTAAATTGTGTAAATGTTTTTAGGAATTGATCGAGGAAAGAAAGAAAATTTAGAAGAATTTAAACTAAGATGAATAACGTGATTAATGCAGAACAGGAGGTAATGATATACTTCAACTAATACACAATTTCGTTAGGCACAATCCATTCATTATTACTTTCATTCAGTGGACACGACAGTTTAAGGTTTTAAAACAAGTCTATCAGATTGATTTCTCGTCTCTTAAATTACATTAATTAATATAGAATTAAAAATGAATCTGAGTCAAAATGTGAATCTATCTCACAGATGAAGTAATTATCAGATGAGAATCTTAATGAGTTTCTCTAATGATATAAATAAATATGTTTCAAACGAGATTAGAATGGGTTATGCTCGTTAAAATATAATCATTCATAAATGCTTGAGTATTATTCTATCTATCTCTATAACAGCAATTATTTAATTGTTAATCAGTACGAGTAATAAAAAGGAATATAAAACTTATTTCTTCATATTTGTATATTAAACAAAACGATTAGTTTTATGAATACTTTCAGTATTAACACTTTCAGTTGTTATTGATGCCATATTTTCATTCATTAAAATCCACAATATTATATTTCCATGATGGTTCAAAATTTGTGTACAAAAAAAAAAAATCTATTCAAAGAATGATTGTTCAAAGTTTCAAATTAGTCAAGCTCAATCAAATTTCCATATCACGAAATTCAAAGCTATTTAATTTTGCTGATGGAACAGAATAACACTTTCTTATCATTGACGTAACAGCTTGTATCTTCACAACTATTATATTATATATATTTATAGATGAAAATATGCATTGACATTGTGTCATGATGATAAAAAACTATGTAAATTTTTTAAATTATTATCTTAATCGGATTCCATTCCATAAAATTCCAAAGATTCTTTACGAATTGAGTAAATAGAATGATATGACATCTTCTGATCATTATAAATAAAAAATCTTCATCAAAAGTTTTGTACAAAAAATTGTTCAGTTAAGAGTTTTTAATCAATCTCCATTCTATAAAGTGGCAGAGATAACCTAAACAGGTATTGACGAATCCTGATGATCATTATCGATGCAATAATTTATATTTTAACAATCGTTAAAATATAAAATTACGTATTAAAAAAAATATATAAAAAAAAAACACGCAATCAATTTCCATTCTCTCTCTAAAACTCCAAAAACAAATCCTTCAAATCCCTTATATTCAACCTTATCGATAACCAATAATTTTCAAGCCAAGATATTAACGAAAAAAATTACACAATTTTTTACCCAAATAACACAATCACGTTCCATTCTACATAAACAAATCCACGTATCTAACTTCACCCCAAATTTTCAATATTCGAGAAAGAAAAGAAAAAAAAAAAGAACATATCACTTCGACAAAAGAGCAACGAAATAAATTTTTAGAAAGAAAACGTGAAAGCAGACTTACGCAAGCCGCAAGCAAGGCCGAGCAGCCCGAGAAGGACCGCGAACCCTGTCCTGTCGATCATCCCTCCAATCTTACGCCTCGAATCCGCTCAATATCGATAATCCTCCCTCCTCGGCTGTAATCCAAACTCCGTGTCTCCTCGCCCCGAGAGGAATCGCCGCTCATGGATGATCAAAAATCGCCAAAGATCGACGCGTCGATCCAGCGACGACGATCCAGCGAACAGGTTGCAACAGGTTGGAAGGTGTCGTTCGTTTGTCCGCCAGATAGCAAGAGGAAAGCCTCTCTCTTTCCGCACGTTTCCTGTGTTGAGTGGGGGATCAAAGGAGGCTTCGAGGGATCCTTCGAGTTCGAGTGCGCGTTCCGAACTGAACCTTCGAGGAGGATACGTGGACACTTAGTACAAACCCTGCCCGAACGGATGGCCTAGCGGCGCGCAAAACACGAGGATCGAGGGAGAGACGGTGCCCCGCCAAGGGGTACGGGTTGGATCAAAGAGGGAGATTATAACGGATGGCCGGGTGGGGTTTTGACGCGGGTACTGGCCCAGATCCGGACACTTTCCGTGTTACGTTTGCTCGCTTACGTTACGGCGAGCAAAAGTTTTTCCTCTCTTTTCGTGGCGATGATTCTTGGGTTTCGGAAGAGATCGTTTAACTTTCTTTTCTTTTTCTGAATTGAATTTTTAAAGATTAATAGATAATTAGGAGAAGGATCGTTTCCCCATTCGCGATCCAATTTTTCAATGCAAGCGAATTAGAGTTAAGATTCTACGAGATAAAACGGGTATTTTTGCAGTTTTAATTTTGTAACAAATATTGAAAATTCCTATATATAATATTTTTGACATCGTATTTCTTCTATCTTCAGAGAACGGAATCGTGGAAATTATTTGGATAATTTGGATAATTTAGTGAAAAATTTTGATGAAATTAGAACGATTGGAGAGAAATAAGGAAACGTAGAAATAACTCTTACGATTCTTCGTGAGAGAAAGACTCGCTCTCTAAGTCGTTGAAATCACTCCATTTTCTGATGAATCGACAGATGAAGAGTTAGATCAGGTCGGAATGTTGAGTCGATCTTCGATCCTCCAAATTTGAATATTTCATATTTATAATCAACGTGTAAACTCGATATTATCGTGGAGAAGAATTTTTATAAATAGAATTATTGACAATAATGATTGGAGCATTTAGAGAGGATCCCGCGAACGGGTTTTCGGATTGCTTCACAACGTGTTATTTTTGGCAATGCTTGTTGCAAGCGTGGGTGGATCAAAGGAACGGAATTACGTAAGATTCACACGAAAAGGCAATTAAGATGCATTATAAGCGGCTGTAAACACGTGTAACGGGAAATTTCAATGGCACAGTGCGTGGAGGATCGAGTTTAACGAAGCGTGGCTAATCGAGAATTTTTGATTCTAAACAAGAAATAGGAGGTTCCTGTGATCCTTGTGGGAATTTCAACGTTGACCTTGGATAGAAGACCCTAATGCGAGGAAATGTATCGTGTTTCCTTAACGATTTTTTTCTCACTCCACTTTCTTACAAGGATATTTTATACCAAGCGTATACGCGTGATTCCACGATTTTTCAATTACCACGAACTCGATGATCCGTTAAGATTAATCTGCCTTATTTTTCTCCAACTTTTCTACTTTTTACGCTATTTTTTTTTTTTTTTTTTATTTATTTACTTGTTACTTTCCTCTCTTCAAATCGATTCTTCGTTGGAAAGATATTCCTTTGTACCTTCGAGAAAAATAATTTCTAATTTCATACTCGAATGAAACACAAATGAATATTAAGCGGTACACGTGTCAGTATGCAACATTGAGAGGAAAAACTTTTCACCGGGATGAAAAAATTAAGCGCGCCTTCGACTCATGGCCTCAAATCGAAACAGTTTTCCATCGAGTAATAATCGCGTAATATTACCCAAGTATAAATACAACAGTATATAGAATTGTTAGTAACTTGCCGCGTGGGATTAATGTTTCATTAGACGACCGAGTTAGGGCGACCACAATTCTCCTTCTTCTGCAATCGAACTGTCAAGTATATACAACACTTTCATCCACGTGATATTTGCACTGTCGTCTTTGTCACTTTAAGCATCCTCAGAGAATTTTTTTTTTCTCTTTAATAGATTTTTCTTCTTCTTCTTCTTCTTCTTCTTTTTTTAAAGCTTAGCACGAACGATTACAATTCGACATACAGCGTGATTCATTTATGATTATCCAGATATTGCAATTATTTTCTCTTTATTGTATTCCACTTGTTACATTTGTACGTTGATCTGATCAAAATTTTTGGTTAAGCAGTAATTTTTCTTCGATCAATTCTCGCGTATAACTTTTAAGCATTTTTTTTTTTTTATGACAAAATTAAATTCACATATCTTCTCGTTAAAAGATTTTCTGCAAAGGAATTGAATTGAATTATAACGTATTTCTATTAATTTATTACTGATTCTACGGTTTATAATTTTACCAGAGAATTATTGAAATTAAAATTACAATGATGTCGAAACATAAAATAGGCATAAATGAGGAAAGAATTTAAAAAAAAAAAAGAGAATTACGGATAAAAAAAACTCGAGAATAAAACTTGAAAATTAACCAAAAAAAAAGAAAAAAGTCTTAACTTCTTTTTCATTAATTTTCGAAATCGAAATTAAAAAGAAAAAAGAGAAGAAGAAAAAAGAAAAGAAAAGAAAAGAAAAATAAGGGAAAAAAAAAAATGTTTTTCGCTCGGGTAACGCTTGGTTTACTCACTCTTTAACGCGTAACGCACACACAACAAAAACTCGTTTTCGAGAGGAGACAAGGAAGGGACGAAGGAATTGAACGGTGAATTCTGTTACGATGATTCAACTGCACTGTCTCCGGACATTTATTACCACGATAATACGATCCAAGCTATTTGCGAAAAAAAAAAAAAAGTGTGTGTGTTTTCTACCTGAATCACGGCCAGAAGCAAACGTCACGACAGCCTGACTCGAACTGTACCTCGAACAATTAGAATCATCCTTCTCCAGCAACGTGCACGTGTTTACTGGCCTATTCACAGCATCCACAGTTGCGGATGGATTAATCGACGACGTATGCTAATCGATAATGGATATTGTCGCGCGTACATCCGTTACATCATCCGACATTTCGCTTTTTTCTTTTCTTTTTTTCACGTTATTTTTCGCGTTAAAAGGTATTAACGCGAGACTTGACTTCTTTCAATCTTCTATCCGTGTACGATCGGTCATTGTTGATAACAAATCGATTGGTTTTTTTTTTTCGCCCGATGGTGGATTCTAAATTACCAGGTACAGTTACGCTCGTAATTATTAGGTGATTTAATTATGCGCGATTTGCGAATTTTTGAATTGTTAAGTTTATTAACTGTGAAAATAAGTGATAATTGTCTCGTTTATTGAATATTAAATGTTTTTTTATTTATTTTCTTAGAATATTTTACGATAAAAAAGAATAAATTTTCATGTTTATTTAATTTTCAAAATTTTAAATTTTATCTTCAAAATATAATTCGATTCTTTTTTTTTTTATGAATTCAAAATTTCTCTAAATCGCGATCGATCGTGGTGATAACCAAAAAAAGGTCGATATCGACTGTGATGCCGATCGCTGAAAAGGTGATCGTCATCGACATTGGGTGATCGTGAGAATGGTTCCGAGAAAGGGTGTACAATCATCGGAGACTTAACACGGTTAACTCGGTTCCCTGATAACTGAGATCTCTGGTCAATGAAAAATTAATGATCAATCACGGTACGATGCAATTCCTTCGCTTTGGAAGAGTTTCGAAAGTTATTGTCCGTTTGAAAATAGAAAATATTTCGAAAATTTTAACTTTCAGCGTTCTCTCCAAGAAAAATTTTTGATCTCGAAAATTTGAAAACTACCATAAAGTTTCAAAAAATTAAATATTTTTAATCTTATGTATTTTTCAATCTTCAATTTATTAGATTCAGAAAATCTGAAAATGAAAAGTCTCTCTACGAAATAATCAAATTTCTGAGACTTCTGAAATAATTACTTCGTTCGAAAAAAAAAAAAGAATAATCAGAACTCATCTACATCAAGAAAGTGATCAATCTTCTCAAAATTCCGAGATCTCTCCTGAAAAAAAAAAAAAGTAGCTAGTTAATTCAAAGAAAGAATATGAATTCATACCATCGATGTCTTTTACACGTTCGTAGGGAAATTTTCCGTTATTTCGGCAATAAATGATTAATAACTCCCAATAAAATATCGTGTGCCCACACTGGGAACAAGATGGATGATCAGGTGAATCATCGTCGATAAGGTCGCGAATATATCCAGGCGTGCATACGTGTGTTGCAGTTTCTTCCTACGACTTACGTCACTTTCGAAAAGAACGGTCCCTGGGTGTCGCGATTTCCGTGGCGGGCTTTATGATTGCCACATGGAATCGACATCTTTGCGCGCGCGATAAATTTCTAGTGAATTATTGCACAGTGTCGAAAGAAAAAATGGGCTTTCGGCGCTGTTTGCCATTTTCGTCCACGCGGAATCCGTTTCCTCCGATTTTTATTTTATATTTACGATCCTCCACCGATCGTCATCCCAACGTTCTGCGTCGAATTCGTCTTTTTACAAAAAAAAAAAAAAAAAAAAAATAATTTGGAATTTTAACTTGGAAAAGTAGAAAATGAAAGATAGAATATGTTTTTCTTTTTTTGTTCTATACTACGGATAATGTTCATGACTATTTATTAATTCATCTGTAATAATTATCTGACAAAATACTAACAGTGATAAATTTTTTTCATCAAACTTAGATCTTTATCCTCTCATACTTTTTACTCGAAAGCAATGTTAATCATTGCAACGACAACGATAAAATTGTTCTTATATGGATTGCAAGGTATTCGAATATTACAAAAGTGGATTCACCAGTTCAAAGAAAGCTCGCGAGAAATTACGAAACTGTAGTGGTATAACTGTTTTGCACGGTGCTGTATATCGTGGAAAGAAACGTTTCTAACGAAAGAAAAGCGTCCATCATTCACGCGCTCCGGGCGATCTGGTGCAACAAGCGACAATGCACGGACGAGGAGGGAAAGGTATCTTTATAGAAAATCCTCGAGACCGTAAAAAGGCCGCGGTCAACTTGAAAAGGAGACACCTACCAGTTAGTGGGCGTTTAGATGGCTGCACCGCCTTTTACAAACTCTACCCGTGCCACGGTAGCACGTTCCGCGATTACGTGATAGGGAAAATATTCTTTTCCCCGCAGATGGACAGCAGATTTCGATATGGTTTGTTTGACAATCAATGTATAATTGATTTCATAGAAGTGTTTGTCTTCTTGTTGAACAAGAAGTTTACCGGTAATTTTCAATAATAATAACGATGATTCTTCCTCGGTTAAATAATTATGAAATTTAATGAAATTTTCCTGACTATTTGATCAGAGTTTACAATTTTTCTCTTTCACCTCGTACACGTTAAAATTGGAAATTGCTTATTTCACTGTATTGTTGGATAAAAATTACTAGTAATTTTAGTAATTGTAACGACTTAATAATTCTTCGTGGATATCGAGATGACTAGAAATGGCGAGAAATTATGATAATTTTGATTAAATTTTACAATTTTTCCTTACTTCGTGAAAATGGGGATTACTTTTTTATTTTATGGTAATTTTAACGATCGTGATTACTGATAATTCTTGACACGATTGGATTAAAATTATTCATCTATTCTCACTATTCAACCAATTTTTCTTATTTCTTATTATAAAATCAATTATTAAATTAAAAATCCACGCAACAAAAAGCCTAAAGATTTAAATAATCCTATCGAAATCCCCTCTTTCTCTGTCTTAGAAAAAAGAAAAAAAAAATACCTACGTATAATAAAACAGATCTCGATCGAAATATTCCGTGTCGCGGGAAATTCAAACATCGAACTTACGAAATGTGTTCCACGGTTGCTCGCTATAAAAGCTTGTACTTGCAAATAAAATGGAATGCATCTCCTCTTATCATACTAACGATCTGCACAAAAGCACAAAAGAAACGAGCGATGAAATCGATCCGAGTCGTGTGCAGACGTAACCACGTCTCCTCCACGTAATTTACACGCGAATCGGCCTTCGTGCACGCCAAAATATCATACGCTGTCTATACAATAAAAAGATTTCGGGGACGTGCAAGGTCAGGAAAGCGGACGTAAAGCGGTTGTTGAATTATAGGAATATGCGCGATGAATACCGCATTGCCGTTTCCATGTATCACTCTTGTTCGATATTATGGCACAAGGGCGCGAATTTTTAAATAGGTTTACGAAACTATCGTGAATTAATCCTAAAACGTACAATCATCCGCAGTCTATTCACGTCCGTTTAAACATTTTTGCGTTGCAAAAACGTTTCAATAATTACATTGAAACTCATTGGACAATGAAATTAGCAAAGGTGTTAATTCAGAAGGTTTTCTTTTTCGAAGGTCTTAAACGCTATAAAAAAGAATTCAATTATACAAAAATTGTATTACGAATGTCAATAAGAAGAAATCGAGAAATCAATAAAATCAATACTATCAGATTTCAAATATCTATTCTGTTTACCTTAATATTCCCATTTCACACTTATTTCACAATTTACATTCTATTTTTTTTCTTTTTATGCGCATAAAATAAACGCGCAATATCCCGCCTAATCTTCTGCCAATTGAAAAATAACGATCCCTTGTTTCCATAGTTGTAAAAAATTTATAATTATAAATTTATAATAATATAAATTTTCGTAAGAACGTTCTCGAATAAACGTTACACCGGCTATTTATTTAAAACATAATGGTATAAATAATCTCGTGGTGGGATAAATATTCAATTGCGGCCGATAGATTAAACTGTCGAAAGGAAACGGCAAGTGTTCCTGTTCCGTTTCACGGAAGAAATATGTCTATATCTCTCGAAGCGATTGATCGATCTGCCTGTGATCGATAAATGGGGAAAAAGACACCACGCCCAAGTACCTGGGGGCTGTATAAACTGGGTATAAAGTTATACAGTGGGTGTTACGCAAGGGGTGACAAAGCCACGCCATAAACCATATTTTTGAACGAAATATATATATGTCCGTGAATAATATAAAAGGTCAGTTGCAGTTGTTCCTTTTTTTCCCCGTTATATTTTTAAAGGAGAAAAAAAAAAAGAAAAAAAAAAGAAAAAAAGAAAAAAGAAGACCAACTTTACTTAAATAATTTTTCTTTTCTCTTTTTCGTGAAAGTTTAATATTTCGTATTATCAAAAAATATCGAATTTTATCGATATCGGACAATGTAATATTTTTTATATTACATTTTTCCTTTACTTCTCAAATCCGATAATTCAATAATAAAAATAATTGTCCAATCAGTGTGTACATATTACGTAAGGTTATAGAGCGGTCAATGTAAGAAGAATTTACGACGATGTAATGAAATCCTTGCATCCGTTAAAAGGACGCTGCGTCGACAAATTACTCGTGCAACAAATTTACGATTAATTTACTCGATATTATGTAAATATCCTGCGAACTTGTATGGTGTGAGAATATCCCGTTTTCTACCTTTACAATAAACGTGTACATATAACTTCCAGTATCGTACACCATTGTTTTTTAAGCAAACGTGAGTATTTTAAGCAACTTCGTGTGTGATTTTACACATTTCCTTTAACCTTGTAGTTAATACGAAATTTCCATCGATTATTTTCTCCTTTTCGAAGAATTTTACCTAACCCTTTTAAAAATGGAATAATAAATTTTAAAATATCAAACAAAAATTTCAATTAATCCTATTACGATAATCGAAAAATGTTGGCAATTAACAAGAGAACCAACGTGAGTGCTTAGTAAGATATCTAATTCACGTTTCCTCGACAGGAAGTGGAGGAATCGTGGATTCTACCAAGGATGTCGACAAAGGCCCGTCAGAGATAAGCCTTTCGAACTACTTGTTTCAAGTGGATTCTTGACGACTTGATTCCTTTGTGATATGAAAGTAGTCGGCAGGAGAGAGCTTATTTGCATTCGATAACAACCGGGCCGAACGGTTGAAAACAGGATCGCACCTTCGAGCCGAAGTGTGCACCAACTCTCCTGACTATTCGACTGTGAACACGGATTTCTATCGATTTCGTGCATCTGAAATTTCACGATCATTGCATGAAAGTTTCGAATCCGATTTAATTCCCTTTAAAATGAATATTTGTTTGGAAGAATGAAATTTTTGTTAAAATCAATAATGTTGAATCGAAATTTAGACAGAATTCTTTTTAAGATTATACAAATATTCATATACAATATGATATTAAAAATTATGTAGAAATTTTATACATAATTTAAAATTTTGAGAAAATTTTTAGAATTCTTTTAAAAATTTTGAGAAATTAAGATCAGCTTCTATATTTTTTTTATTAATCGTACACTTAATCGAGGATAACGATGCATAACACTGAAACACGTAAAATAATTCCATTATTCAACAAATAAACGACATTGAAATAATTATTGAAATAAACCTGCGATACTCTGGACGATTCTGCATTGTCAAGGTTCTGACAACTTCTTGGCTGATGTAATTGAATAAGAATTTCACAGGATAATTTACAACGTATATATGGTTTGTACATAAGACAATTATCTACATTCTATCTTACCTTTGCACGGCGCTATATTGGGAAAATCTTCATTTTCCATTTACGGTTAAATTATTTTACTAGAGAAATCGTTAAACGATGAACTAAATAACTAAATGAGTAAGACAAGATCCACGATGGATTATAATGAATCCTCTTGATTAAATACAATTCTGAACAAATTAAAACAAAAAAAAAAATGATCATATTAATTTATGAATATAATATAATTTTTTCTTGATTAATAATATCAGATTTAAAAAGTCAAAAAGTATTTAAAATTAATTTCTTGACTAAAATTGGTAACGAATCGAAATAAAACAATCAACCGTATAAAGTTATGCTACAAAGTTAAAAATGAATGGAATCAACAACCGATTAATTTGTAATTATACAAATGAATATCATGGAAAATTTTACATAAATTTCTAAAATGTCACGTATTACGTACCACATTAAGGAACGTGTACAGACCTTAATTGCGTTTGCTAGAGAAAGGTGAGGAGTAATTCATTGAACGTAAATTCATATTACAAAAGCGCACGGTGTATCGCATAATTTCTTTTATCGCGAATTTATTATTGAATTTATCAACGAATCGAGAACGTATCTTAATTAAAACCAATTATAAGTTCTCCACGAAGCGAATTCCTCCTCCTGTTTGAAGGAAAGGGAGGCGCGAAATTTATATTGAATAAATTACGAGAAATTTCACAGACAGGTACACAATTAAAAGCAATTTCGTGTTTCGTAAGCTGCTCGTTGCAATTTCACGTGTGCGCAAGGACGCCACAAGTTTAAAGGAAGCAATTAGATTTGAAGAGGAAGGACGAAAGTTTTTTTAATAAGTCATTTTTTCTTCTTTTTCTTTTTTTTTTTTTTTTTTTCATAACAGTAGACTCCAAGGACGCCTGTTGCGAAATTATTAGGTCTCATCGTTGCAGAATGTCCCTTCCTCCAACGCGATGGAATTTCTTTCTTCTTTCCTTATTTCCTGTTGTGTAGAAACACCTGCTAGAGAAAGTATTGGAATTTCATAAAATTGTTTCCCATTTGTTTCGAATCACAATAAAATTATATCAAACATTACAATTGGAATTAAATTGGACACAGATTTGTTAAGTGTTGTAAATATCGAAAAGAAAATTCGTAATATCGTTAAAAATAAAATTATCATTACATAAAATTACCTACTATATTTTTTGATGAACAATACCGTTTCACAAGTTTCGTTTCGATTTTGAGTTAGAACATTTGAAAAATGTCTAATCCTCGCAGATACTTTTCAAAATTAAAACCATATCGAATACATTTTCAACGATTACGTTATTAATCCTAATTTTATAATATCTTCCTACACAATCTATCTACCCTAATTCTTCCTGCACTACATTCCAACCTCTTCAACCTCAAACATTACACCCATTAATTCAAATTTTACTTTGCTCTTCTACTTTGCTCGACGACCTCCAACGAGGAAAAGAGATCCCTGAAAAAAAAAAAAAGGAAAAAGAAAAAAACATCGAACTAATTTCACTTTTGACTCGGTTTCCCTTTACACGTTTCTTCAATTACATACCGATGGATTCATTCTCGTTCCCTCTCCCCTCCCCCCCCCCCCCTCATCCTGGGCAAACTCTACCTTATTAAATCGTCGCCTGGTACGCATACACACAGAGGCCGAAATCGGGTTTTACGTAATCGATCCACCTCCGAACGCATTTCGCCTCTTCGCATTCCGACGTTGGTAGCACCCGTTGATGTCCGTTTCGTGGAGAGCCCTGTTCTCTCTGCCTTCCACTTTCTCCACAATTACGTCACACGCCATGACACCCCATTTCCACAGCCGCGGGTTGCTTTCAGCGCCGCCACAGGCGCGCGCATAAATACCCGGTGAATTATATATATATATATTATATATATATTTCTCGTGCATCCGGTCCGAATATTAGCGCCAATAGGAAAGTGTTCACTTCTTAGCAAACGTGTTATTTCGTAAATTTTGAAACGCAATGACGATCTTTGGCGGAGATAGAATAATCGAGCGATGGAAATTTTTCGTACGAGGAGGATTTAGAGGATGAACAGTGTTCCTGCAAAAATTATCTTTTTATAATATTCTTTGGTAAATAAAATGGTGAATAAATACACGAAGATCAATTGTCGAGGGGGAACTTTTATTATTTCCAAGATTTATTTTTATTTTAATAAATTTTCTATATTCATTGTACACATCTTTCTCTTTGTGAAATATATTCTGTAACAAATATCGTTGGATCGTATCGGTTTAATAAGGAGAAAGAGTTATATCCAGGATCGTAATAAATTTTCAATCCACGGTATGATCATATTCGTATAATAAAATCTGTAACTACTTGAAAGATAAGTATTTCACAATAATCATTCAATGAACGATCTTTTTTCCATCTTATTTATATATATATATATTTTATACTTCTTCGATTTCTCGTCGAACATGCGCATTTCCTGAGAGAAATTTAAAATATCTTCCGATAAACGCCATTAATTAGTTGAATCAAAATTTAATATTCATAAAAATTTATCTCCAATCGATTCTTTTTTTCACTCTACTGAAATACAAGCATAACTTATCGTTAAAATTTTTAACTCACCCTCGAGTGATTATACAATTTTAATCCCTCTTACACTTTTTCTCTTCTTTTTTTTTTACGAAATCAAGTTTCAACTAGTTTCTCTTTCCACCATTGTTGCTCGACCATCAATCAACACTCTCTCTATTCATCCTATATCGGCGCTATCGGTGTTAATCCACTGTTATTTTAACGATACAAAAGCTTTCGCACAGTCATTTAAAAGTAATCGTGATCCCGTCTTACGTCACGTGCGTAATTCGAACTATTGTAAAATTATTCGATCGCGAAGGATACGTGTCAGGCCTTGAATCGTGAAATTACGCTCGTGTGTGATCTAATCGTTTAGATCGCCGGGCAAATGGGAAAAGGAGAAAGAACAATCATTTCACTGTCACTGGCTGCTCGTAACGTAACAAGTTTCGAACGTTTCGACCTCTTAAATCTTCGAGCGTCATAAATACCGTCGGCTGTTATATCATTGACGATTATGCGAGGACAGGAATTTATTCGGAGAAAATTTGTATTTGAATAATTTTTAACGATCCCAAGGATAATTGTATTCTTCGTGCTTTAACAAATTCTTCTTGGAAATGTTCTCTCTTATTATAATGAATATCGCTACCACAGAAGAAACCAACAATTTATTTTAATTTTTAATTAGTGATTTAGAAACGGTATAAATCCATTTCAAACGCGAGAGAATTAAATTTTGAACGTAAATTGAATAACATTTTATAATTTCGTTGATTAAAAATAAATATAAATATATAAAATTCCATCGTTTTGATTAATTTGCGTTAAAAGATGAAAACAGATATCCAGATGTCCCATTTTCTCTCGCAAATACGTGTGTATGAATTTTTTCCCCGTTGCAAATATGCAAACTCGTTTAATTCTCTCGGATCGATTTCATTTTTCTTTCCGCGCAACAGTCGATTAACCGCAAAGATTACGCGTGAAACGCATGCACAAAAGGGAAACGTCAATATATTTGCGAACTTAATCGGCGTTAATCGATCGAGGAGAGGGGGGAAAAAAATAAGTATTAAAACAAAAATACGCGGAAGGAATCCAGTTTTCGATGAGGTATCATAGGCAGGAAGCAAAAAGTTGCCTCGAATCGTACACATAGTGTCTTTATACCACCTTAAAAGTGGTAACAAACAACGAAGGTTCTTGTCCACTGGATGATGTCAACATGTCCATGTTCGATCAAAACGATCTCGATCTTCCCTAAATGCTTTCTATGGATCGAGGAAGTAAAAGTGTAACTGTTTGACAAACTATCTTTGCACATAGAGAGTGATAGAAATGAGACTTGTTCTTAAATAAAATGTACTACTTGACATACTTTGATGTACTTTGATGTGCGTGGCTCGAAAATTTCTTGCTTCTTTGGCTCGTTAAAATTCTAAATTTGTTAAACAGCTGGATATTGTACGTAAATAATAGTCTCATATTTATAAATCGATTATTTTCATATTAGAAAAATAAAGAAAACAGAAGAAAAAAATATTAGCTGTAAGTCACATTTAAATAAATATTAATATTTTTACTAATTCCAGACTTAATATTATTCTATGCTATTATCAAATACTTCGAAATTTGCACAAAATTCTAAAAACACCTTTATTCTTATTTGTAAACTCGTCTGAAAGTTTGAATGCAATCGATATCAATAAATCAAATTCCAATCGAAAAAGGATCAACTTTTCCCGAAAATGGACATTGATCATTCGCCAAAAATTGTTCGAATATTTCATCAATGGTGATTAATCAAATCGTTTAGCGGGGACGTGACACAGTGAGATGTACGTATTTGCATAATTCATGAGCTTGCGATATGGTGAAGCATCGATGCACCGTTTTGGTAGAGGGACAGACGCCATTAAGGAACAATAGCTGTAGATAAATGGCGAAAGTTGGCGTTGACAAAACGTGTGGACATCCGTGTCCATTTGCACGAAAGATATATTTGATGTAAGTTTTGCTTTGTATGTATGCAAACGTTTGGACGTTTATTTAATTAAACGATTTACTTTTGCTGGACGAAACTGTGCTTCACTTAAAAATCATAGGATAAATTCTACCTAAAATTCAAAGAATATTATTTTCATCTACTTTTATCAAATTGATCCTTTAAGGTAAAATATAAAAATTTATCGAAACGATTTTCGAATTGTGCCGAACCGAATTATTACACGGAAAATTTTTTGAAAAATTGAAAATTACGTATGAAGATCAATTGCAAAAATTCCCAATCGTCCTCGAGTTAAAACAACACGTTTCCATTTCATCGAAGCATGATAAAGTAAAATTTCTACGCTTAATAAAAAAAAAAAAATTAACTCGAGTTTCGCAGTTGTATCTTTTACCCAAAACTTTCATTCCTTGTCAAATTACAAGCCGTGCAATGTCCTTTGGTTCACGGAGAACCAGTATTCCGTACTAAAATTAAAACTCGCAATTCTTCGCGTTATCCAACTACATGGAGAGTTGCGAGTAACGAGCTTGTACACCGTGTGTAAACGATACAATGAGCTCGTAAAATCAAAATGGGTGTTAAAGTAAACATGTTTCGGTCATCGGGACCGGATCATTGGCAGAAATACGAGGGGCCATAAGAAAAATTTGAACTTCATTTAGAACACTATCCGATCCAATTTTTCTCATTAATCGTCCGCGTCTCTTCTCTTGTATCTCGAGGTGACATTTATATACGGGCGATTTCTTGCCACTCTGATAAAGGAGATCGCGATACACCGTCATTTTACACGTATAAAATAATTGAATCGAGTTATGATTATCGAGAAATGTAATTTTGTAACAGTTCCGTTGTCGTGCAAGCAGGTATTAAATTAATATCGAATTAAGATCGTACAATTTCTATTTTATCACTTGTTAATTCAAAAATTAAAAAATGAGATATTAATTTAATTTAATACCGTGCATTATAAATATACAGGAATAAGAAAATTTAGCATTAATCAATTTATTGATTAATTTCAATATGGGTCAAGATTTAATTTTTTTTGTTTTCATAAACCATTGAAAATTTTTAATGCCTCGAGTAATTTCGGGAAAGGATACATTTCGAATCGCCGGTTGGCTGTCTAATTTACGATTACGTTACACATTTACATTTCTCCGGTAGAATGTGTCTCGTCATGGTCGAACTAACGCCACGGTCGGTCGGCATGCTTCACAGAACACCACTGTCAATGAGCTCGCCTTGATCTCTCTATACTTTCAATATAATAAACAAAATCGACCAATTTTTTTTTCACATCGATCATTACTTCGACAATTTCTTTACCTGGTTATTAAGTTATCAGTTTGTGCCGTTGTTTAATTTTGATCGCTTAACACGTTCGGTGTTAATTGATTTTAACGAGTGCTCCAATTAAACATGATCTCTTTATTCAATTTAACGATGTATTGGTTTTAACACCATTGGAAAATTGATTTTTCCAATTTGAAAATTTTGATACGTAAATAAAATATTATCACGTCGCCAATTGTATTTTCGAAAATCAACGATGCTGATTTAACTGAAAAAAATTAGTCACAAATGTACTGAAGAGTATGAAGTGAAAAAGTGAAAACTATTATTATCTCGAAAAATGAAGGAAGAGGAAAAAATATTATATAAGAATATCTGCAATAAACGTTTTAAACATTAAAAATCAAATAATTTTCTTTTAAAAATCTATAAAAATAAAATTCTATCTACGCACAGAAATATTCAATCTGAAGTAACAAGTAAACAATCGCGTAGCAACTGTGTAGCCACGTTTCCACTTCTTTTATGAAAAATAAGAAACGCGTTATGTATAACGATTATTTAAATTGCACGAGTGAAATCAGTGCTCGTTTCTGATGTATGTAAATTTGCCAGGCAGGTACTTATTTTTTTAACTCTTAATTGTCGCTGCCGTTCGACGATGCTGGGGGCTACGTCTTTAATAGGATGGCCTTAGGGAATGGTCTCGATAGTTGGAAGAAAAAAAAAAAAAAATAATAATGTTCGACCGAGGGAACATTGACGTTTGAAAGGAGAAGGCGCGCGATTGGACGACGTTCGTTTGACGTGGAGACAAATTTGTTATGTGGATTTTTCGAAAGGCGGTCGTATCGAATGATAAAATTAAAAAAAAATGGAAACATATTCATCCGTTAAAGATTTAAAAAAAAAAAAAGGATTACTTTATATTTCTCTAAATAATCTTTTCACATTAATTCTAACCTTGTTGGATGATATCACAGGATGAAATACAGAATTAATCTCTCGAGTCTAATTGAACTGACACTGTATTACAGATTTTATT